CCTTTAGTCTTTTAATACATTTGAATTACATCTTTTAAAGTTGTGTTTCTGTGCTTTATTTACAAACTTATCTGTGGCCTTAGGTATTTTATGACACTGTATGTTAATATTTTTAACATTATTTATTGAAAGGGAACCTTAGGTCACATTAGTATTGAATAAATGCCAATCCAGGAAAATTACCAGTATCAGTTCCATCAGTTAAGTCGATATCCTGGTTGGAATCTCTGGACTTTTTTTTACTGATGTAGGCCCAGGACATGTCATGAAATTTTAATCCAAACAAATCTGTTCAGTAGTCACTTGGAGGATACATAACATAATCACTTCAATTTTATAATAAATCAACTGTGTTTTGAAAAAAAAATCTCTACACTGGTATCGGTTAATATTGAGTATCGGTAGAGATGTAGAGACAAAGTGTACATATCATATTGGAACTGAACAATCTGGATCGGTGCGTCCCTACACATTAGCATGCTAGTTGTTTTCAGCATTACCCTGACAGCAAAACTCTGTTCTCTGAGAGTCGTGAATGAAGAAACTATAAAAAAGGAAGAGAAGAAGGGCTTGGCCAGAAACATCACACTGTGGTGTCACTGAAATAAAAATTTGGGAGCTTCAAAGAACTGCAGTGTGGATCTCTTTCTTTTTTTGCACACTTTTTGTTTCTGGACCCAGCATGCAGTCGCAATTTTTGTTGGATGTGCATGTCTCTTAGCCTGATTCATCAGCAGGTTTCACTTCGTGGAAACCGCAACATTAGTATTTTTTATCATTTAACCAATCGCTGCTATTTGGTCGTAACGTATGTAATGCACCAAATCCTGTAGGAAGAAGGGTAATAATGTCTTTTCCCTTGATAAAATTCACCAAACATTCTCTTTATTCTGGCTTTAAATCCTCGATCTTGGGAATTGTTGCCAACACAGAATGTATTGCTTTTCGCTGATTGGCTGATGCCTGGACTCACACTTCCAGGATTTTTGCAAACCGTCTAGTGTATTCTGATTCCTGACCTAGTCCCTGGAGAGAATTGAAATTGAGCGGAGGCACTAGGTGGCACCAGCCTGGCTACATGTCTCTATCTACCAACATAGAACTATAATAAAATCTGCAAGGTGAACCCAAGATGGCATCGCATTGTTTTCAGTGACCTGTACTCATTGGCACATTGCGCAAAAAAAGATTTTTACTTCCGCATTACTTCCTGAATACTGGCCTAACACCGCAAAACATGTGACGTCAGAAATGTGCAGTTTTGACCAATCAGAGTGATGCTAGAGAGGAGTCTTGCAAAACATGTAAAATGCAAAAGAATCCCTACAAAATGCTATCGAAGCCCCGTCAGCCGAACACGTGCTGTTGGATTTCACACACAAAAAAATGCATTGCACTCGTTTTAGTGTCAAACAAAAAAAACTGATTTCAAGTTGATTTCAAATAACCTCAAACGGTGCCTATTTTAATTTTGATAATTTATTCTCTCTGGTTTATTTTACCGGGAAGTTCTGCTGCTGAAGGTCTCATCTGAAAAATCATTGCAATTTTGTGGACAAACATGTCATCTTCTTTTTTATGCTTTTAATTTAGCGTCTTAGAAAGTCATTGTTGGACTACAGGAAGCAGCGATAAACTCTCCTTTGTTCAATTGATGCCGTAGAATTGTAATAAAAATAATTTTTATTATAGATCCATGGTTGACACTGAATAAAAACCAGAGAGAATAAAATATCAAAATTAAAACAGACACTGAGACTGTATTGTGATTTGTGTTATTTGAAATAAACTTTTAATTAAATATTGGAAATAGAAATCTGTTTTTTGTTTGACACTAAAATGGAATAGTGAATGGTAAACAGACTGAGGCGCAGTAACACAGAGACATCAGGAGTCTAACCCACAACCTCGTCGCTGACAGGAGGAGACAGGATCAAACTCTCCATCACCACACAGCTGCTGCTTTCTGAAGGAAGGGAGAATTGGTTTTGCTGTCAGAGGAAACAGTTTTTACCCCGTTTGAAAAGCAGGACAGCCCCAAAGAGAGAGGGAGAGAGGGAGAGAGAGAGGGAGGGAGGAGGGCAGGGATGGAGGGATAGATAGAGGAGGAGAGAGGAGTGTCGATGGGGTGAGAGAGAGAAGGTGTTTCATTATGGGGTGGGGAAAGCAGAGAGAAGGATAAAGAGAGAGACAGATGGTAGAATGGAAAATAGAAAAGGAGTGATGTGAGAGGAGAGAGAGAGAGAGGGAAAGAGACTGAGAAGAGAGAGGGAGGGAGAAAGAGGGAGAGAAGAGAGAGAGAGGGAGGGAGAAAGAGGGAGAGAAAGATACTGAGGAGAGAGGGGAAAAGAGATTGAGGAGAGCGAGAGAGGGATGAGAAAGAGGAAGAAAAAGAGACTGAAGAAAGAGAGAGGGAGAAAGAGACTGAGGAAAGGGGAAGAGACTGAGGAAAGAGCGAGGGATGGAGAAAGGGGGAGAGAAAGAAAGGGAGAAAGAGGGAAATAAAGAGACTGAAGAAGAGAAAGACGGAGAGAAAGACTGAGGAGAGAGAGAGGGAAGGATGGAGGGAGGGAGAAAGAGGGAGAGAAAGAGAGTGAGGAGAGAGGGAGGGAGAAAGATGGAGAAAGAGGGAGAGAAAGAAAGATACTGAGGAAATAGAGAGGAAGAGAGAGATAGGGAGAAAAGAGGAGATAAAGAGACTGAAGAGAGAGCTGGAGAAAGGATGAAGAGAAAAAGAGAAAGAAAGATACTGAGGAGAGAGGGCATAAGAGATTGAGGAGAGTGGGATGGAGAAAGAGACTTAGGAGAGAGAGAGAGGGAGAGAGGGGGGATAAAGATACTAAAGAAGAGAAAAAGAGGGAGAGAGAGACTGAGGAGCGAGAGAAAGAGAGAAAGAGGGAGATCAAAAGACTGAGGAAAGAGAGGGATGGAGACAGAGGGAGAGAAAGAGACTGAGGAGAGAGGGAATAAGAGATTGAGGAGAGCGAGAGAGGGATGAGAAAGAGGAAGAAAAAGAGACTGAAGAAAGAGAGAGGGAAATAAAGAGACTGAAGAAGAGAAAGAAGGAGAGAAAGACTGAGGAGAGAGACAGGGAAGGATGGAGGGAGGGAGAAAAAGGGAGATAAAGAGACTGAGGAGAGAGAGATAGGGTGAAACGGGGAGATAAAGAGACTGAAGAGAGAGCTGGAGAAAGGATGAAGAGAAAGAAAGAAAGATACTGAGGAGAGAGGGCATAAGAGATTGAGGAGAGTGGGATGGAGAAAGAGACTTGGGAGAGAAAGGGAGAGGGGGGTGATAAAGATACTAAAGAAGAGAAAAAGAGGGAGAGAGAGACTGAGAGAGAGAGAGAGAGAGAGAAAGGGAGAAAGAGAGAGATCAAAAGACTGAGGAAAGAGAGGGATGGAGACAGAGGAAGAGAAAGAGACTGAGGAGGGAGAGAGAGAGAGAGAGAGAAAGAGGGAGTAAATGAGGAGAGAGGGAATAAAAGATTGAGGAGAGAGGGGGATGGAGAAAGAGACTTAGGAGAGAGAGAGAGTTGAGGAGTTAAATGATGAGTGGAGGGAAGCATAGACGACGGAGAGAGGTTAGGAGAGAAAAGTTAAGACATACGGAAGAAGAGGGAGGGAGGGAGGGAGGGAGGAGAGAGGAGCAAAGGACTAGGTGTTATTGATAGGTAGAGAAAGAGAGAGATCGAAAGAGAAAGTTAAATTATGGGGAGAGAATTGACAGAGGGAAGATAAAAGAAGAGAAGATAGGGGAGAGAGAGAGAGAAAGAAAGGAGAGGGTTAAATGATGAAGGAAGGAGAGCATAGAGAAGGAAGAGTGTGATAAAAAAAAAACAAGAAGGATATAAAAAGAGCAATGGGGAGGGAGAGGGTATTAGGGGAGAGGGGGAGACAGAAAACGAGGTACGTGGAGGGAGAGAGGAGAGAGAGACAGGGAATGAAAGAGGGATGGAGAGAGAGAGAGAGAGCAGGGGTCCCCTCTTTGTCCCAGATACATCAGGAGCTCTTTACACTCAAAGTCACCTTCAGCTTAAACTGGAGCATTTCACACATTTTAACACCAACAGTTGAATAATGAGAGTCTGCACCCACAATCCCACCCACTCTGCACCCACAGATCCACAGAAACACCCACCGTCCACCCACAGATCCACAGAAACACCCACCGTGCACCCACAGATCCACAGAAACACCCACCGTGCACCCACAGATCCACAGAAACACCCACCATGCACCTAAAGATCCACATACCCACCCACCGTGTCCAAAGATCACAGAACACCCACCGTGCACCCACAGATCCACAAACACACCCACCGTGCACCTAAAGATCCACATACCCACCCACCGTGCACCTAAAGATCCCCAAACCCACCCACCATGCACCTACAGACCCACAAACCCATCACATAACGGCCGAAAAACTTAAAATTATAGTCATACTGGTTAAAAGAATTTGAATTACATATTTTCCCACGTTTGCTGAGTCAGCAATTTGCCGCCTGGTCTCAAATAAAAGCCTGGTCTGTTAAGTGATTGAAATAAATAAACGTCGCTGCTATTATTTGGTATTTTATGGTATGTACTATGTAGACTAGCAGACACAAGTAAAATACTTGTTCTTTAATGTTTGGTAACTCTTTAATATTTTGCTTCTGCTGATCGTAATCTTCTAAAAAATAATCACTTAAGATTTATTTAGGCTTTAGTTTTTATATTTAGTTTTCAAATGTATCGTATGTACAGCTATATGCGTCTTACACCATAAATATTCGCCTGTGCCTGCGTATTTCTCATGGAGCACGTCTCACTGTGATGTTTGTGATTGGCCTCTCGTGTTTCCCGTTTCCGGTCCGTTCCCATAGCGACGGGATTGACAGTGCCAGGTGCGCATGGAGCGGCAGTGCGCGCTCTGGCACACTCGTCTCCACCGTGCGTAAAGTTAGTGCCATGTCCTTCTGGCGTACTTTTTAGCCCAGTTTAAACCTCAAAATCATGGATCCTCCGGACTTCGAGTCGCTGAACATGACGGCCCAGCCCACGCCGCTCACGTACCCGGTGTGTGAGCGCTGGAGAGACGGTTCTGAGGGCTCCGTCTTCCACCTGGCAAACATCTTTCTTTTTTTTGGATTCATGGGCGGCAGCGGGTTGTACGGACTCCTCTATCTGTTTACGTTTCTCACTTTGGGCTTTTTCTGCTCCACTATTTGGTCGTGGTCGGACCCGTGCACCACCGACACGTTCCTGTGGACTTTCGCGCTCTTCGGGACGTGTTTTGGGCAAATGCTGCACGTGTCCTACCGGTTACGCAGCGTCACGTTTGACAAAGAGTTCGAGGATTTGTACAACTGCCTGTTCAAGAAGCTCGGGGTGTCGCTGACGCAGTACGGGAAGATCGTGGCGTGCTGTGAGCGCGACGTGCAGACGCTGGAGCGGGACCACTGCTTCGCCATGGAGGGGAAGACCGCCATAGATAAGCTCTCCGTGCTTCTGGACGGCAGGTGACTCCACTGGATCTCGGTCATTAAAGGGCTCACATCATTTTTAATGTTGTATCTTCATCACAAACAGACCTGGAGTTGTGTTTTGTTTCATTCATACATGTTTAACACAGAAAAAAAAACTCCATATTTAGGCTGAGTTCTTCCTTCAGACCAAAAACACTCTGTTCCACCTTGTGATGTCATGCAGTAATACAGGTAATTGTGTATTTAAACTCCACACACCATCTCTAGAATCATAATGGATAATTTCATCCCTGGAATTGCCAAACTCTACTGAACTAAATCTACGTTTATATGATGAGGTTCTGAACAGAACAGAAGATGCAAAAGTGGCGTAACAATCCGTGTTTCATTCGTTCATTTGTTTTTTAGTATAAAATCAAAAATAAGAAAATGAAAAAACAACTATTTTCTTCATTATTTGTCTCCAAAATCAAAATGAAGAAACAGATAATGATTTGTTTTTTCAGTTTTTGATTTTGTGTTTAAATGAAGAATAGAAAAAAACAGATAATGAACTGAACCAGGACTGAACTAGGACTAAACCAGGTCCGTAACCAGACCGGGACCAAGACCAGGACCAGACCGTGATTGAGACCGGGACTGAGACCAGGACTGAGGCTGGGACCAGACCAGGACTAAGTCAGGGACCAGATCAGGACTGACACCGGGACCAGATCGGGACCAGACCGGGACTGAGTCTGGGACCAAGACCAGGATTTAGACTACGAGTGAGACCAGGGCTGAGGCTGGGACCGGACCAGGACCACACCGTGATTGAGACCGGGACTGAGACCAGGACCAGACCGGGACTGAGACCAGGACCAGACCGGGACTGAGACCAGGAACAGACCGGGACTGAGACAGGGACCAGACCAGGACTGAGACCAGGACCAGATCTGGCCCAAACCAGGACTGAGCCCGGGACCAGATCGGGACCACACCAGGACTGAGCCCGGGACCAGACGGGGACCAGATTGGGACCAGACCAGGACAGAGACTGGGACCAGACCATGACTGAAAATGGTTTAGTCCTGGTTTAGTCTTGTTTTAGTCCTGGTTCAGTCCTGGTTGAGTCCGTCCGGAAATGGTCGTTATCCGTTTTTTCCATTATTCATTTAAACACAAAATAAAAAACTGAAAAAACAAATCATTATCCGTTTTTTCATTTTGGTTTTGGAGACAAATAATGAAGAAAATAGTTGTTTTTTGGTTTTATATTGAAAAACGGATGAATGAATGATACACAGATTCGTCGCATCTTCACTTTTTATTTCGCGCTTAGAGGAGTGCCTGAAATTCGACTGGGTATGCATGCCATCCAACATGTTTGTTTCTGTGTCCTGTATTTATGTCACATAAACGAGTATGAGACGTGAGCAGATCTGACCAGAGTTTTGCGTCTTGGGCAGTGTACATGGAAACACTACAGTAGAGTGCATTCAACTTTTCTACTCTCTAGGGTGGCTTCATATTTTTGCATTTTTAAGCCCCACAAACACCATCACCGTCTAAACCAAAGGCACTTCTGAAAAAATATTTTGTTGTTTTTTTACCCACAAGCATTCTCGTGTAAACAGGCCCTATAGCTAAAAGGAGCTGTCAAGTTAAAAACTACTGCTTCATGACATCACAAGGTGGAACAGAGCATGTGTGAATGAAACAAAACACAACTTCAGGTGTTTTTGAGGAGGTAACAACACTGTAATTTGGCTTAAAGCTCACAAGAGGAGTGTATGAATCCTAAATAAATAAAGATCGTAAAATACAAGAGTACATAATACTGTAGTTTAATTTGAACAGTAACATCGTTTTCTTTATTTGACAGTACAAACGCTGAGCATAAAAACAGACTGACGGTGTGTGGTTGTTGTTGTGGGCAGGATTCGTGTGACGGTGAACGGGGAGTTCCTTCACTATATTTACCCGTTCCAGTTCTTGGACTCTCCAGAGTGGGACTCGCTCCGACCGTCAGAGGAGGGCATTTTCCAGGTGAACACACACACAGACACACACACCCCCACACATGCAGAGACACACACACAGACACACACACCCACAGACACACACACCCCCACACATGCAGAGACACACACACAGCTGAGGCTAGTGACTCATTCTGCTCTTACAATAATACGAATGGGGACTTGACGTGACGCTCATTTTTGGTGTAATCACTTTAAATGACTTTCTAAATAAAATATTTATTCCTCCAAAATTCAACTCAGCTGTGCACAGATACGGGGCGACAGTGGCTCAGTTGGTAGAGCATTTATCCACTGATTAGAAGGTTGGTGGTTTGATTCCCGCTCTCGACGTAAAACATCATTGGTTGAGCAGTCAGACCCACTGACCCACAGGTTGGAAGTGCGATTCCAGATGAGTTATGAATGTGTGTGTGAACGGGTGAGTGGTTCCTTGATGTAAAGGGCTTGAACGTTGAAAACTGCTGTATAACAATGTGACCATTTACTATGTATTCTATTAATTACATAAAGTTTTAGTTTTTCAGTTTTTGGTATTTCAATAAAAAAGCATTGAAATATTCCTGCGGTGTGACTGTAACACTTTATAAAAATTCATCTAGAATGAGTCTCTTGTGTCAGAGACAGCTCATGAAGGGTTTTGGGATAAACGGATGTACATGATTGAATAATATTAAACCTTAATCTCTACTTTAAATCTAAAAAAAGATATAAACAGTTTAGTAATCCAAAGGGTGTCCTGCAGTGTGACAGGAAGAATCACACATACCAGCTCGTTAAAGCCTGAAAGCCTCTCGTCAGATCTCAGGGTCTCGTCAGGACTTGGATGGGAGACCAATCAGGAGCCACAGTGGGGCGCCAGTGTCAAAAACGTTTGTTCTGTCCTTAGGCAAGACACTTCACCTACATGAGCGTTGCAGCACCTGATGGCACAGATTAGCAGCCTCGTTTCTGTCAGTCTGTCCCAGGGCAGTCGTGACTACAACAGTAGCTTACCACCCCTGAGTGTGGAGTGAATGAACAATGAACTGTAAAGTGCTTTGGTGTCTTGAAAGGTATTATATAAATGCTATGATGAATTAATTAAAAGGACAAAAAGCAGGAGGAGCTCATCTGACATTTATGCACCAGGACGAGCTCTGGGGTGAAGGGATTAATATACAAAACAAAGTTAAAAATGAAACTTCAAACATGCGGAGTGTGATGTCCTGCAGTGTGACAGCTGTATTTTCTAATAAAAACACAATTCTAAGTGTTAGCCAGATATTAACCAGATATTATTTAAGATGGGACAGTTGCATAATTATTCCACCAGATCATTTATTAGAATATTCTGACGTGGTACATTTATAGTGACAGTTTATAGGTCACAAGTGAAAATGACTAAAAATGAAAGAATGACACCAAAAGCGTGGTGGTCTTAGTGAAAAGGCTTATTTACAACTGTTGAAGAACTTAAATAGAGCATCACACCACAGGACAGAAAAATGGCATTTACACTCCCAAGCATCAAGTACATTTTATTAGTGTGTTATTAACGCATTTTATTTATATCTTTGCCGATATCCAATACCAGTATCATATCGGTGCATCCCTGATTGCCCCAGTCGTCACAGATTATGAAGTGGCCTTTAGAATGTGGCCGCTCTGTTTACAAACACGGACTCTAGATATATATCTGTATATATATAGCTCTTTAGAATGTTATAGGGTGCATGCCGCAGACTGGGGTCCAGAGGGTAGAGCAGTCTTCTTATTGCGTCTTATTGAAAGTTTGTGGTACCAATCTAACTCCATCCAATCCACACTTCATCATATTGGCTTAAAGGTCCAGTGTAATCTCTCTTCAAAAACAGACCTGGACTTGTGTTTTGTTTCATTCATACGTCTGAGTAACTCTTTATTATTAGTCTCTCTGCATCTCCAAAGCTCAAAATGCTCTATTCCACCTTGTGATGTCATGAAGCAGTAGTTTTTCGGGATGTAACAATAACCGAAATATCGTGATATCGTATCGTCAGAGTTCTCACAATAATATTGTTGTCCATCACAATATATCGAATTATACAAGGCTTTTTGCTTAAATGAAGAGTTATGGTGCAGCAGTAGCTTTAAAAAAGACAGAGGGAACTACATAGACCATAATCCTTTGCTCCATTTCAGTGCAGACTACAAGAAGAAATAACAGTTCTAAACGATTTTAACCCTTGTTCTTTGGATTAAGTCTTGTCAAGGCATTTTAAAAGGAAAATTAAGCGTATTAACAGTTTTAGCTGTTTAGCCTCCACAAAATATCACAATAAATATTGTACCGTGAGCTGTAAATCGTGAAAATATCGTACAGAGAGATTTGGATATTGTTACATCCTTAATCATGAGCTTTCCCATGATATCGTGAGCTTTCCCACGATATCGCAATAAATATCGTACCGTGAGGTTCATACCGTGACGATATCGTACCGTGAGACTTGGATATCGTTACATCCCTGGTAGTTTTCTAGTGAACAGCTCCTTTTACCTTTTAGTTCAGTAGAGATTGGCAATTCCTGGACTGAAATTGTCCAAATGATTCTAGTGAAGGTGTATGGAGTAAAAAAAACAAACAGTGGAGCACTTCCTGTATTACCGCATGACATCAGAAGATGTTTTCAGTTTGAGAAAAGAACTCAGCCTAAATTTCCAGTGTTTTAAACATGTGTGAATGAAACAAAACACAACTGACCGTTTGTGGTCCGTTTGTGATGAGGAAACATTAGAAAGTAGTGTAATATGAGCTTTTTAGTGAATATGTAAGCTTTGTATTATGTTATTAGGTTCTTTTTTCAGACCAAGAGTTTGTTTTCTTACCTGTTCCGACTGCTCACTAGCGATCTTCCTCAGAGTGGTCACGTGATGTTGCTGTGACGTGTCCGGTCAGCTGATTTAAGTCCAGTCCCAGTCCAGAACCAAATTATGGACTGGGACAGAGCAAATATCATTGGGACAGAGAAAAGGAAACACCGTCGCTGGATTAAAGAGGCAATCAAAATATGGAAACACTGGACGATAAACCGGGACAAGGGGGCTTTTTTATTCTCACACACCTGGGATATTGTCCTGAGGAAGTGGGACTGCAGATGGCACTGTCGTCCTGCCTCCACCGGTAGGAAGACAGCGCCAAAACCTTTTAAAATTAGGTGAGCGACACGGTACAGCAACATCACCTGACTCTGAGGAAGATTGCTAGTGAGCAGTCGAAAATGTCAGGTATGAAAACAAAATCTTGGTCTGAAAAAAAGAACCTAATAACATAAAATATCAAGACCAAATGAACCTCTTTGGACTAAGCCTTGTATTGTTCGCTGTAATTCTCCCTCTGTCCTGTAGGTGACGCTGCGAGCTGATAACCGATGCCGGTACGTGACGTGGCGGAGGAAGAAGCTGTACCTGCTCTTCGCCAAACACCGGTACCTCGCCAAAATCTTCGCCCTGGTGGTGCGAAACGATATCGCAGATAAACTGTACTCTCTCAATGACAAAGCCTACGACAGCTCCGGGCACCGCTACGACCTGCGCCTGCCCAGCTTCTGCCACCCGCCGCACCTGTCGCCCGAATACAACCAGGGACATCCACACCTGTCGCCCGAAGACAACCAAGAACATCCGCAACCGTTATCCGAAGACAAACAGGAACATCCACAACCGTCGCCTGAAAACAACCAGGGACATCCGCAACCGTCACCTAAAGACAAACAGGAACATCAGCACCTGTCGCCCGAAGACAACCAGGAACCTGTCCACCCCTCACCTATCCGCCGCACACCTGTCTGCCGCCCACCTGCCCGAAGGAACCGGGGATCAGAGGGTCTCCTGCAGATGCCAGCACGGGGGAGGACTACCTGAGAAAGCATTCTGTGTTACTTCATGAAATAAATGTAGAAAAGTAGAGTAGAAATGTACTTAAAGCCTCACTGTGGTACTTTTCTGACTGAAGGTCTGCTAAGTGTAGAGATGTTATTGCTTTTCATAGAATGTTCCAAAGCGGAGGTGTGTAGAACTCAGTTAGATGTACTAGACCAGGGGTCTCCAACCTGTTGCTCAGGAGCTCCCAGAAGCTCTCCAAGCCCCATCCAAGAAGCTTGCCAAGGGATTTCATTGAATGGTGAATTTTATCAAGGGGAAAGACGTTGTTGCCCTTCTTTCTACGGGATTTGGGAAAAGCTTAGCCCCGTTAGCGGCTCATTACATACATCACGACCAAATAGAAGTGATTTGTTAAATTTGAAAAAGTACCTGCCTACCATCGAGCAAACGAATGCTAATGCTGTGAGGTCAGACAGTTTCCACAAAGTGAAACCGGCTGATGAATGAGGCTATAAACACTGAGCTTGTTTCCCAAAATACGGTCCAGTTCTTCATAAAATGAACAGGTTACACGTCCACGGCCACTTCTTTTGTCTTTAGCCTCCTTGTATTTGACTCGCAGGCTCTTTATTTTTCATTTACATTGGAACCTGGACCGCCTGTAGTCATGCTCGGCCATTTCTTTGGCAATCATTTAAAACACCGCCCAGTTCCCTCCAAGACCTATCCAATTTGGCATGAATAGAGCGATCCCCCCCAAATATTAATAAACTTGCTAACCTCGCTTTCCCCCCATTGACAAGACTCTGAGCCTGATGTGTAGGTGGATGAATGCACTTTGGCCGTTCAGACTGAAGCCACATGTCAAAAGATCGGATATGTATCGTTTTTAGGAGCACACATCCAAGTGGCCTGGCTCACATTTGAAAAAATCTGATCTGTGTGGTTCAGACTGTCATTAAAAGATCAGATACAGATCACATAGGGGTGAAAAATTTTGATTTGGGTCACTTCAGGCTGCAGTCTGTTCGTAGCCTTACTGTACCTAAAGGCTCACCCTCTTTCTAATAATCATCTCAATTTCTTGCGACCACTAAAAATTTTTGTTGACGTATCTTGAATGTTTGAATGAATGAAATGAATGTTTGGAGACCCCTGTTCTAGAGTAACTTGTTAGTAAAATTGTACTTCTCCATAGGTTTAGGCAGCAACGTGGCTTATTGGCACTCAAGATTTTGGGTTCAGCTTCTAGGTCGCCCAAGCTTTTCTGTGTAGAGCAGGAGTCTCCAACCTGGAAGGGAGGGACAGTCCGGAATTTTGGACATAGGACTTCATTTCCTAGTGAGCCAGAGTGTTGGAGACATGTGGAGACACACAAAACACCCGAAGAAAATCTATTATTACACCAGACTATCCATGTAAATGTCTGTGTTTATAGAACAATGTTTGAAATAAAACTAACTTTGCATTACATGAATCGTTGTATGCTGAGGGACTATTTTCTCATATATCAGTCCGCCGCTGCTCAGCTTTCTATCAGGAAGTACAACTCGCTGCTGCTGCTCGGACATAAATCCTTCAAATGCAATGTTGGTTTTACTTCTAAAATTATTTTATCAACACAGACATTTACATGGACAGTCTGGTGTAATAATATATTTGCTTCGGGTGTTTTGTGGAGTGGGTAAGACTGTTTTTAGTGTCAGGAATAACTATGACCATTGACATGCACTAGCCTAGCACCAGTGACCTCTGCAAATACAAGGACTGGATGGAATATTTAAAAAAGTGTCTCCACACGTCTCCAACACTCTGGCTCACGAGGAAATGAGGTCCTATGTCCAAAATTCCGAACTGTCCCTTTAATTACTATGTTGAATGTGTCATTTTAATGCCTAACTTATGCACTAATAATTGGATAATGGTTTACATTTAATAGGCAGTCTAAAGCTTGCTGTAGCTCTTCTACTTTCTCGATTTCTTGCGACCGCTAAAATGTGTAACTCTTTGACATTTTCATTTTATAAAGGTTGAAAAAGGTTGGAGACTTCTGGTGTAGAGGTTCTTGTTTCAGCCCAACATAGTTAAGTGCGTAGTGAAGGAGACGTGAGCTCTGAAATGATCAAAATGTATCTACTGTATGTATGTATGTTGTTGTACTCACCACTTCATGATGTCATGAGGTGGAGGTGAGTGTTTTATGCTCCGACCATCGACTGTATATGTAAATTAAACATAGCTAACCTGATATTTGGCGTGTTCCAGACAGGAAGTAGAGCACGATGGAGATTCTAGCTTCATCGACTGTTTCTAATTGATTTTACGTTGAAAAACTGTTGGCCTCTCTCTGTAAACGCTGCTTTGAGCCCCGTCATTTTGGTCTTAAAATGTTCGTATTAACCCTCTCTATGTGATCCTGGTGTTTTTATTTCACAATTTATAACCGCTCGCCTCATGAGGTTCATTTGACGGGAGCTGAACTCTGTGGTGACGTCACACTCCTTTAGTCCACGCCTTTCTTCAGTCTATGGCTTCGACGATAAAGAGCCTAAAAACACACACAGCATATCTCCTCATAATCCATGTGTCATTCGTTCATTTTGTTTTTCAATACAAAACCAGAAATAAGAAAATGAAAAAACAGCAGTTTTCTTCATTATTGGTCTCTGAAACCAAAATGAAAAAACAGATAAAGATTCGTTTTTTTCAGTTTTCGATTTTCTGTTTAAATGAAAAATGGAAAAAACTGAATGTTTCCCGTTTACGTGACTTAAATTGTGATGCTGGATTTTTACGCCGCAAACCAGGACTGAACCAGGACTAAACCAGGACTAAACTGTTTTCAGTCCTGGTCTGGTCCCGGTCTCAGTCCTGGTCTGGTCCTGGTCTTAGTTCCAGTCTGGTCCCGGTCTCTGTCCCAGTCTCAATCACTGTCTGGTCCTGGCCTCAGTCCTGGTCTCAGTCCTGGTCCTGGTCCCAGACTGAGTCCTGGTCTGGTCCCGGACCTGGTGTAGTCCTGGTTTAGTCCTGGTTCAGTCCATATGTGGCGCAAAAGTCAGCCATTATCCGTTTTTTACCATTATTCATTTAAACACAAAATCGAAAGCTGAAAAAATGAATCGTTATTCATTTAATTAACGAAGAAAATAGTTGTTTTTTGTTTTCTTATTTTTGGTTTTATTTTTTGAAAAACGAATGAACGTATGATCCACATGATTCCTCATGTTTGTGCCAATGAAACAAAACACAGTTCAAATCACATGAAAACACTGAAGCTGAACATTGGAACTGTAACAAAAATACATTTTTGTATAAAATATCCATTGTGTGTGGACGCTAATTTAGATTTAGTCTTTGTTGATCCACAAGGGAAATTACTTTGACACAGTAGCTCACACATCACATAATATCACAACAACGAGTAAAAAAATATAAAAATGATGATAAATGATGATTCTAAAAAAGTAGCAATAAAAAATAGCAAGAGTCTGGGGTAGAATTAAACAAAATTTATATAAATAAATGTACAAGTAAGTAAAAAAACAAATATTGTAATATAAATACAGTAAATCACAGTTGCTTTGCTCTCTAAATTATTGTACTTTATATTTCTTTCCTTACCAGAGGGGAACCAACAATTTTGTCCACATCTGTACATCACAAGTTAAATGTGTGTTGAATTCACAAATATGCACTAAATCAGCTCATAGTATGATTTTTGTGATATATACCCTGGATGATTATGAAAACGTCACAAGTTGTTTGAAAAAAAAAAAAAAATCAGTGATATGTATTACAAGTTAAATGTCTTTAGGGACGTAATGATATCCAAGTCGCACGATACGATATCATCACGGTATGAACCTCACGGTACGTTATTTATTGCGATATCATGGGAAAGCTCACGATATTATATGATGGGGAGGCTCACGATTAGGGATGTAACAATACCCAAATCTCTCGGTACGATATTTTCACGATATACATCTCACGGTACGATATTTATTGTGATATTTTGTGGCGGAACAAAACTGAATATGCTACTTTTTCATCTTAAAATGCCTTGACGAGACTTAACCCAAAGAATTAAGTCTTAAAAAGTGCTTAGAACTGTTATTTCTTCTTGTAGTCTGCACTGAAATGGAGCAAAGGATCATGGTCTATGTAGTTCCTTCTGTTTTTTTAGCTATTGCTGCACCAAAACTCTTAATTTAAACAAAGAAACTTGCAATTAGATATATTGTGATCGTCCATGATGTTATTTTCAGAACTTTGACGATACGATATAACGATATTTCGGTTACTGTCACATCCCTAGTCTTTATATGTGTCGAATATCCAATATCAAACCAATTCAGCCGCGGTTACAGACACAGATAGCCCACAAATACTCTCTTTAACACTGTCAGATATATGTACAGATACTATAGCCCCCCCTGTCGGTGCTCCGTGTCCCTGCAGGAGCCTTATCTCCGGCTCTTTGCCCATTTTTAGCCCGCGTCTGTCAGCTGCGTCCGCGGAATGTGCGACGTATCCCCCGTCACCAGAGCCTCGGACCTCCGTCTCCTCTCTGCGTCTATCCGAGCTCCTCCGCGCCATCCACCCCGCTCTCCTGCGCCTTTTCCCGGCTACACCTCTGCTGTCCCCGCCGCTGTTGCCGCCGCCGCTGCTCCTGGAGATCCGGTGAGTGATTCGATCTCGTACTTGTTGTAAAGTTGTTGGAGGAGCGCGCGGGCTGCGTTGGAGAGGACCGGAGAACGTGCGTGTTTTTGGGGCTATTTTTACCGAGGCCCTCCCCCGACGCGACTGGAGCACATCAACTGACACTCGGGTACAGAACAGCGCGGGGGACGGTGAAAAAACTCAGAAAAATACTATTTAACTCACTGTTTGTTAAAAAAGTGTTTACGCATCTGTCGCGTCATCTATTTTAACTCGACATCCAAACTTTACGCGCTGTTTATGTAAGTCTGCGTGGGAAAATATTAGGCTAAAAAGTCACAATAGTTCAGAACTGAATAAGAGAAACAAAGATTTATTAAATGAAATTTTAAAATGTCTAGTGCAGATATAGTTATGTAATGTAACTGTTAATGTAAAATGGGAGTTACAAGTGTGTCCATCGCCCACGCATGACCGATCTCAAAAGTGTTGTCACGATACTAACATTTCAAACTCGATGTTTAGTAAGAATTAGGCTTAATACTCGATACCGATTTGATTGCAATCAGCTCTTACTTTGAAACGTTACAAAAGATTATAGGCTATATATTAGGTTATATATTTGAATACTATAGGCCTAGTGGTTCATCAGTGTTTTTGTGAGTTTGAACAAGAGTTTAAAGTGATACAGTCCCATTTGCTCCATAAACAGTCAAACCCGCCCTTTTGCTTGAGGTTTGTAACTCACATAATAAAAAATAAGCACTTGTAGAGAGCCAGTATTTGCCTTTATATTTTAAAGAACAAAAATATTTATTGCAAAAAACTATATATAGTTGGAGCGCTCACTGGATCACTGCTAAGAGAAGAAACAATCAGGTGCTCTTCTCCATGGTTGACTTTCATTAGATTTTTTTTGTGGTCACAAAATAGTTTCTGTCCTCCTCTCTAGCTGCTGACCTGCTGCTACAGGTGACTAGATAAACCTGATCAGGGTGACCTTGTATACCAGGCTGGCACAACCTAGTGCCTCCACTAAATTGCATTTCTCTCCAGCGACTAGGTCAGGAATCAGAATACACTAGACCAGGGGTGTCCAAACTTTTTTCATCAAGGGCCACATATCTAAACACAGATGAAGCAGAGGGCCGATTGAGGGCCGTAGACTGATGCTCAGTACAGTGAATAATTGAAATGTGTGCATGTTTAACACGTTAGAATGAGCCATCAGTCTTTAGTCATGTTAAGATCCTTAAAACCAAGGTAATCTGCAAGTGCAAGGTAATTTGGGCCAATTCACCTGGAAGTCTGAGGGCCGCATTTGGCCCCCGGGCCATAGTTTGGGCATGCCTGCACTAGACGGTTTGCAAGAACCCCAGAAGTTTTAGACCGCGCACTGACCAATCAGCTGTGATAAGGGAAGCCATGACGTCAAACTCAAACGTCTGTCTGTGTCCCTTTTGTGGAACAACACAACAGTAAACAAAGCGTCAAGATGGATGTAGACGAAGACAGACATTCTGTGTTGGCAACGATTCCTGAGATCGAGGATTTAAAGCCGGAACAAAGAAAATGTTTGGTGAATTTTATCAAGGGGAAAGACGTTATTGTCTTTCTTCCTACGGGATTTGGCGCATTATATACATCACGACCAAATAGCAGCGATTGGTTAAATAAAAAAAGTACCCGTCTACCGTCGAGCGAACAAATCCTAATGGTGCGAGAAAGTGAAACCGGCTGATGAATCAGGCTAGTCCTGATCAAGACTACCTCAAGATCTGGGTCAAATGCAGAGGACAATAAAGTGAACCTTAACTTAAGACTCAGCGTAGGAAACACAGTGTTCCGTACACTACAATAAAACACTAATGAGGCCGTGACCAGGCTGCGTGTGTGAAGTTAGAACATTTTCATTTTAGATTTTGTAATTAGTTTGTTTATTCTTGGAAATGGAGCCCAAATGAAGTGCCTCTTTCTTTCTTTTTCTTTTTTTTTTTTTGCTTACCATTCAGGGCTTCCATAGTTTGTACTGCTGTTAATCTTTTTAATATAGATGAAAAGAACGATGGAAGTCATTTATATTTGAGAGAATTTTGTTTATTGTACTTATGGTGACACGAGCTTCATAAATGTATATGCTTTTGATTATTGCATTTTTGCAATTTGCTTTACATATTTTTTTATGAAAATGTTTTGCGCAGTTTCTGTACAAGTATCAAATGTAGTAACAGTGTTTGTGATTTAAAACCTACACCCATAGACTGTATAAATACTAGTGTTGTCTTGATTTCAGTACTAAAGAATAACAGACTTTATGTGGTCTTATAGTTGTTCTGATACAGCTGAAGGTCATTTAATTTGTTTCGATACTAGTTTCAGTATCAATTTGTGTCTGATTTTCCTTACTTTTGACAACCCAAATATATAATTCCTTAAAATAGAGGTGAAGAAGTATTGTCTTTTATCTTTCACCTTTTAAAGAAGAAAACAATCCTGCTCTGACCCTCTGTGGCCTTTGTCCCATTTTATTTTCAGTGTCCTGGTTTTTGAAGGTGACTTTGGTTCGAGATGTCCTCCGCTGCTCCCCCCTTCTCTCTGTCCCCCCTCCCCTTCTCCACGCTCGCTCCTTTCCCACCAGCCACGGCAGCTTCGAGTCTGGGAAACAACGGTACGATGTGCGAGGAGTGGGAGCACGCCCATCACCTCCTCTTCCACCTGGGAAACCTGGCTCTCCTGCTGGGCCTGGTGATCCCGACCACAGTGGCTCTGCACATGATCCTGCTCAGACTGCTGCTCATGACCGGTACCTCACTGCACTTTTACTGCACTTCATCTAAATTACATTCAGTGGGAGGTAACAAAGTAAAAGTAGTAAAGTACTGTACAACTTAGATACCTGTACTTGACTTAAAGAGCCCATATTAGGCTATTTCTACGGAGCCCGTGTGATGACGTGTGCGAAAAAAGACTACTGTATTTTTCGGATGATAAGTCACTCTGGAACATAAGTTGCACCAGCCAAAAAATGCATAATGAAAAAGAAAAAAACATACTGTATTTTCTGCACTATAAGCCTCCAACCCCACCAAAAACAACTGCGCACACCACAATCCAGAGCGCCCTATACACGAATCCAAACTAAACTACAAAGCCGCTTCACCCGCAGCACGCAAACACACACGGAGCAGACAGCAACCGCACAGCGAAAAGCACCCACAGACACACTCATCACTCCACGCCGACGAGGAACGGAACGGAAGAACGAATCAAAAAAGTGATGTGCCACTTCTAGACACGACTGAACAACTGAGTCACTGCGAACACGCTGACAATCTGTTGGTCCCAGACAGCACCCTCCCTACACGCCACAACTGAACAAAGCCCAGAGTCACCGTGAACGCTACAAACAAACAAAACCACTCACCCATCACACTGTTGTGTTTTCTTTAAAGTCTGGTGCAGTTTATTTGTGAAAAATGTTCGAAAATAGACCATTTAATGATAGTGCGTCTTATTATCCAGAGTGCCTAATACTGTAGAAAATATGGTATATAAGTCGCACTTTTTGGGGGAAATTTATTTTATAAAATCAGAGACCAGGCAAGTTCTAGTAATAATAGAACAGAGAAGAACAGACTGATAACTATAGCATAAACAACAGAACAGAACAAATTTACCAAACTCTCCATCTCACTCCAAATGGGATGGTTAGGATGGTTATGGTTTCCATAATTTCAAAAGGGAATCAGATGTGTGTGACTGTAAACCTCCGTTCAAACTGTTTCTCTTCCCACACAGATCTGATTCTCTTTTTGCAGTCACGGAGTTGGCAAACTTCTGAAGCCCGTTTCTTGAGCTGTTTTCCACTGTTAGAACATCCAACATCTACACAATTACGATGTCTGAATCCCAAAACTAAAATATGACAATATCAGAATCAGAAACAAAAGCGATATGGTTCAAAAAACTTGAAAAGATCGACTTTGACAATAGACGCATCACACTGGGAAACCAAACATGGCAGTTTGATGCTCACTTTTTCGGAAAATCCTTCCCAGTATGCATTGCGCGATGACCGGAAGTCCGAAATTCATGCATGTATTATGACCCCCAGTAGAGTTGTGTTGTTGCTCTCACACTGCGCCCCCTGCAGGCTGTGGCGTGTTCATGTTCTTGTGTGTACTGTTGCTCTGTGGTGTTTTCTCTGAACATTGCGCCCCCTGCAGGCTGTGGCGTGTTCATAGTGTGGGCCGCTCTGTACCGCTGTAACATCGACGTCCTCGTGTGGAACATCATCTTCCTCATCGTCAACTTCATGCACCTCTTCTTCCTCCTCTACAAACGCAGACCGGTGAGTGGGACCCATATCTATCTAAATATCTATCTATCTATCTAAATATCTATCTATCTATCTAAATATCTATCTATCGAAATATCTATCTATCTATCTATCTATCTATCTAAATATCTATCTATCTATCTATCTAAATATCTATCTATCTATCTATCTATCTATCTATCTATCTAAATATCTATCTATCTATCTAAATATCTATCTATCTATCTAAATATCTATCTATCTATCTATCTATCTATCTAAATATCTATCTATCGAAATATCTATCTATCTATCTATCTATCTATCTATCTATCTAAATATCTATCTATCGAAATATCTATCTATCTAAATATCTATCTATCGAAATAACTTTCTATCTATCTATCTATCTAATATCTATCTCTCTTCTTCCTTTACAATCACAGACTGGTGAGTGGGACCAATTACTCTCTCCTCTTTTTCTCTCTGTGTCTCTCTCTCCTCCTTTTCCCTTTGACGTCTCACTCCTTCCCGCTCTCCTTTGCAGCCCTTTTCCTTTTTTTGTCCCCAACCTTCATCTCTAGCTCTGTCTATAGATCTCTATTTCTCTCTCTCTTTCTCTCTCTCTCTCTGTCTATCTCAGTATCTGTCTCTCTCTCTCTCTCTCTCTCTCTCTATCTTTCTCTCTTTCTCTATCTATCTGTCTATCTTATCTTTCTCTCTCTCTCTCTGTTTATCCTCTATCTATCTCTATCTATCTATTTCTCTCTCTTTCTTTTTATCTATCTTTCTTTATTTCTCTCTCTCTCTATCTATTAATCTATTTCTCTTTCTTTATCTCTCTATATATTTCACTCTCTATTTCTCTCTCTCTATCCTCTATCTCTCTCTCTCTCTGTCTATCTCTATCTATTTCTCTATATATCAATCTATCTATCTGTCTGTCTGTCTCTCTATCTCTCATTTCTCTCTATCTATCTCTCTCTCTCACTTTCTCACTCTGCCTATCTATCTATCTTTCCCTCGTTCTATCTATCTCTCTATTTATCTATCCATCTGTCTCTCTCTTGCTCTATTTATCTCTCTCACTCTATCTATCATCTATCTCTCTCGCTCTATCTATCTATCCATCTATATCTCCATCTATCTATCTCGATCTATCTTTCTCTCTCTCTCTCTATCTATCTATCTAGCTCTATCTCTCTTGCTCTATCTATCTCTCTCGCTCTATCTATCTCTCTCGCTCTATCTATCTCTCTCGCTCTATCTCTCTCTCTCTCTCTCTGTCTCTCTCTCTCTATCTCTCTCTATCTATCTCTCTCGCTCTATCTCTTTCTATCCCTCTCGCTCTATCTATCTATGTCTCTCACTCTATCTCTCTCGCTCTATCTGTCTTTCTTTCTATCTGTCTCTCTCTATTTCTCTCTCTCTCTCTCTCTACATATCTATTTCTCTATTTCTTTATCTATTTATTTCTCTCTCTTATTTTGTTTTCCTGTTTCTCTCCTTCTCTTCTATCTCCCACCCCCTCACCCCATCATCACCACCACCACCACCTCTCTCTCTCCGTCTCTCTCTTTCTGTCTTTCTGTCTCTCCCTCTCTCCCTCGGTTCTTGCGAGGTCCATGTTTATTTATTGGTTTGGAGACGGGGACAGTGTCAGATTCCGCTCGTGTCCTTGTGGGATTTTTGGACTTATGGAAATGCGATGCGCTTAAATGAAACCCGGGGCGTCGTTAGGGAATCGGGAGGTGACAGAATCAGACCAGGAGTTTCAAAATGAGGAGACGTGTCCAGAAAAACACCGTCCCACTCATCCCTCGCTCCCGAAAACGTCACAGCAAATAAATCTGACTTCACTTTGATACGGGCTGTGTGCACCAGACCTGGGACTAAACCAGGACTAAACCAGGACAAAACCAGGACAAAACTAGGACTAGACCAGGACTATGAACCGTGACTATGAACCAGGACCTCAAAGTAGGACTAAACCAGGACTAAACTAGGACTAGACCAGGACTATGAACCAGGACCTCAAATTAGGACTAGACCAGGACTAAACCAGGACTATAAACCAGGACTAGACCAGGACTCAAACTAGGAAAAGACCAGGACTAAACTAGGACCTCAAACTAGGAGTAGACCAAGACTAAACCAGACCTCAATCTAGGACTAACCTAGGACCTAAAACTACAACTAGAACATAACTAAACTAGGACCTAAAACTAGGACTAGACCAGGACTATAAACCAGGACTCAAACTAGGACTAAACCAGGACCTAAAACAAGGACTAAACCAGGACTAAACAAGACCTCAAACTAGAACTAGACCAGGACTAGAACAGGACTAGATCAGGATTAAACAAGAATTTAAACTAGGACTAACTAGACAAGGACTAAACCAGACCTCAAACTAGGAATAGACCAGGACTAAAACTAGGACTAGACCAGGACTAAACCAGGACTCAAACTAGGACTAAACCAGGACCTAAAACAAGGACTAAACCAGGACTAAACAAGACCTCAAACTAGAACTAGACCAGGACTAGAACAGGACTAGATCAGGATTAAACAAGAATTTAAAACTAGGACTAGGACTAGACCAGGACTAAACCAGACCTCAAACTAGGAATAGACCAGGACTAAAACAAGGACTAGACCAAGACTAAACTAGGGCCTAAAAATACAACTAGACCATAACTGAACTAGGACCTAAAACTAGGACTAGACCAGGACTAAACAAGGACCTAAACCAGGACTAAAGTAGAACATAAAACTAGGACTAAACAAGGACCTAAATCTAGGACTAAACCAGGACTAAAGTAGAACATAAAACTAGGACTAAACAAGGATTAATCTAGGACCTCAAACTAAGACTAGACCAGAACTAAACTAGAACATAAAACTAGGACAATTTTTTTTTCTGTTATACTGTGACCTAAATAAGCCTGATTTGCGATTAACCAAATGATTTTGATCCCTATTGAACTACAACCGAACTAAAGCAACAATGACCAAACCAAAACTACAACAGGATTTGAACTAAACCATGAAGTCTTTGTCTAAAGCCCTGCTCAGTGTCACTTCCTGTTGTGGTTCAGATAAAGATCGACCGTGACCTGAGGCCCGTGTACAAGCGTATGTTCGAGCCCCTCCACGTCAGAGAGGCGCAGTTCCAAAGACTCACGGGACAGTTCTGCACCATCCAGACCATAAAGAAGGGCCAGGCCTACGCTGTGGAGGAGAAGACCTCTGTGGACGAGCGCCTCAGCATCCTGCTCAAGGGAAAGTACGAACTATTCACAGGACACAATGGACATTCTACATTATATGACATTATATTCACTCTGTCTTTTATTTTGAAAGGATGACTGTTTCATATCGGGGCCATTTCCTGCACAACATCTACACAAACGCCTTCATCGACTCTCCAGAGTTCAGGTCCACCGAGATGCAGAGAGGAGAGAAGTTCCAGGTACAGGACTCCTCTGACAGTATTCCTCTGGTTCTCTTTAAGCCAGGGGTCATCAAACTAAGGCCCGCGGGCTGACTCCGGCCCTCCAGCCCCTCTGTAGTCTGATTCATCAGCCAGTTTCACTTTGTAGAAACCGTCTGACCTCGCAGTGTTAAGATTCGTTCAGTCGACGGTAGGCGGGTACTCTGTTTATTTAACCAATCGCTGCTATTTGGTCGTGATGTATGTAATGCACCTCTAACAGGGCTAACTGGTATATTAAGCTTTTCCCAAATCCCGTAGGAAGAAGGACAATAACGTCTTTCCTCTTGATAAAATTCACCAAACATTCTCTTTGTTCCGGCTTAAATCCTTGATCTCTGGAATCCTTGCAACACAGAATATATGGCTTTGTGCTGATTGATTGATGGCATTTATATAGCGCCTTTCAAGATACCCAAAGTTCATTATTCAGTCACTCCACACTCAGATAGACTGGTGCCCAGACTCATACTTCCAGGGTTCTTGCAAACCGTCTAGTGCAGGGGTGGGCAAACTACGGCCCAGGGGCCATATGCGGACCTTTAATTCGGCCTGCCGATCTTTAATAATAATAATAATAATAATAATAATGATTTTAAGTGTTTTAAAAGTAATTTCAATACATAATTATCTAATTATCCCATGTTATTTTTTTTCTCTTATGAGGTGGATTACAAAAAACTCCTGGTCCGGCCCTTCTGTCAAATTTTAGAACCCTTTGTGGCCCACGAGTCAAAAATGTTTGCCCACCCCTGGTCTAGTGTATTCTGATTCCTGACCTAGTCGCTGTAGAGAAATGAAACTGAGCGGAGGGACTTGGTTACACCAGCCTGGTTAGCCCTTCTGCCAGCCACCAACTTGAACTGGCCCTATGAGGCAATCCTCAAAAGTTGTCATAGTCTATTTTTTAAAACTACTTTTTGGGAAATAATAACACGTCTGCAACTTGTATTTTGTTGATTGTTTTCTATTAAAAATTGAAAAAAAAAAAGATTTATATTTATATTTAAATAATTATATGACGTATTTACATTTGCCGTCGAATTTTCGTCACCGGACAAACTCGAGATCAAACAGTGACAGTCAACACACGCGCAGAGTTCTGTAGTGCAGTTAAGGACAGAAAAATGTCTCGTGTTAAAGTAGGAAAACTTGACAGAGAGTGCTGAGTTTTCGAAGAAGAGTGGATGACCAATTATTTTTTTGTTCAGTGTGAGGAGCGTGCAGTTTGTCTGATATGTAAAAAAAAAAGTGTGGAGGTTTTCAGAGAATATAATCTGCGTCGTCAAGTACGCCGACCTGACCCCGGCCCTCAACACAGTCAAGAGCCATAATGTGGTCCCCAGAGGAAAAAAGTTTGGTGACCCCCGCTCTGAGGTGTTGTGTGACTGTCCCTCTGGTTTCTGTGGTGATGTTCCAGGTGACCATCATGGCGGAGGAGAACTGCAAGTACATGTGCTGGTCCAGGGAGCGGCTGACCTACTTCCTGGAGTCGGACACGTTTCTGAATGAAGTGTTCAGATATCTGATCGGGAAAGATATCACCAACAAACTGTACTCCCTCAACGACCCCACCCTCAGTGACAAGGTGAGATATTGTGTCCTTGGGCAAGGCACTTCAGTCTGTGTGTGTGTTGTGTGATCTATGGTGGTCAGAGAAAAAGGTGCCATGGCTCCATCAGTCTCCCCCAGGGCAGCTGTCAAATCCAATCCACTTTATTTATATAACACATTTTATAAACAGTTTCCAAAGTGCTGCACAAATACATACTAATAACAACAAAAATAAAATGATAGAATAAACACTCAGATTTAATCATACTAGTCTTAAAACAATAAAACCAGTAAAATAAAATAAGAGCAAAAAACATAGAATAGCAAAAAAATAAATAAAATAAATTAAAAATAAATAAAAGATGGTATTTGGCTATAAAATACCCAATGACCCACGGGTTATGTACTTGGGCTTGCTGCATGAAAACAATATTTGAACTGAGGACTTTTATTTGTTTAAACTGATGCTCTTGACTAGTAAGAAAGTAATAACACGGAATTGGCTGAAGGATGATCCTTTGAAATTATAGCAATGGACAGATATAATGGAGGAAATTTATGGGATGGAAAAAATAACCTATTATTTGAGACTGAAAGCTTGTAGTTTTGAGCAGCGATGGTCAAAATGGTCTATTTACAAAGCTCACGCCAATTTATAAGGTATTTTATTTTTTCTATATTTTTTTTTTGTAGAACTCCACAGATTGTTTGTTCTTTTATGTACATTTGTTAAAATTTTGAAAAAGCACAAATAAAAAGTAAAAAATTAAATAAAAAAAATAAAAGACACAGAGGACCACACAACTCATGCAGTGTTAAAAGCCCAAGTATTTGACCCTCTCTGTATTTGACCCAGTGTGCTGTCTTTGTGTGTTTGTGTGTTTGTGCATCAGGCGGTGAAGCAGATGGACCGTCAGCCCAGTCTGTGCTTGTGTGTGTGTGCTGTATTTCACCCAGTCCTTTACATTTGACCCAGTGTGTGTGTTTTTGTGCGTCAGGCGGTGAAGCAGATGGACCGTCAGCCCAGTCTGTGCTCGCAGCTCTCCATGATGCAGATGAGGAACAGTTTGGCGAGCACCAGTGACACCGATGACGTGCTGCACCAGATCCTCAGAGGAGGCTCGGCCGGCTCCTCTCAGCGTGAGTCTCACCACCACAACACAAGACCTTTACCCCACAGTCTGTGCTGGACATGCGAGACCAACTAGTGGCCGCTCCCGGTATTGCAGCTCCCAGGAGCTTGGGCCCAGAAAGAATTCTCTCATAGAAGCACAGTGCATTTTGGGAATTCAAATCCGTATTTGGCTGACAGGGCATCCAGCTTTCACGAAGGTTGTATTTTGTAGGATTCCTTTTTATTTTCACAACATAAACTTTTTAAATGTTTTAAATTCACAAAGTGCATAAAAATAATCTTTGTAAGACTTATCCTAGCCCCACTGTGAGCTCACGCTAACTCCGCTCCAGTAGCTCTTGTTCTGATTGGTCCAAACGCTTCACACCGTTCACGTTACAGGCGTCACACGGGTGGGAGGAGCTCGCCCGTATTGAGGAAGTAACCCTGCATTCGATTATCTTTCGACTCCCACTTGAACCTCGGATTTGACGTCTTGTGCGAACCTGAAGCGTATTATTATGTGTCGCGTGTCGGACTAGCTGGATTATAATTATGACTATTCCCTCATCTTATGAAAACCACTTTAATTAAGCCACTTTAATTAATAACATTTTTGCAATTTGCACTTCATTTTATGTTATGATTTGTCTTCCGTTACAACCTTAGGAACATTAATGCCCGTTAAATCAAAAGTATTTGTTCAATATTGGCCTGACCACAACACCGTCTCCCAAACCCACAGGCAGTGATACAGACACAGTAAAGTATTACAGTATAACAGTATAAAAGTATAACACGAGTGACTGAAATTATCATTTAAACCGCCAAAATGTCCAAACACAATGAAAACACTTGCCATCATCATTTGCACAGCCATCTTGGATTCTGACTCAGAATCCTTGCTCGGTCGACTTTTTCTGCCGCCGAGGTCCGAGTCGCGCCCAGGAAAAGGGGTGTGTCTCGCGTGTCGCTAGGCAACTTCCCCAGAAAACCGATTTGGAAGGATAATTGAATGCAGGGTACATGTGGAAGAAAAAATTAATTTGGGCCCATGTGCACAAGCAACTGAAAACAATACGACGTCATCTTGGGTTCACGTTCTTGATTTATTATAGTTCTATGGGAAAGACACATTTGCTCAAAGAAATCAGGTACAGGCCCTATAATCTCAAACCCATAGTAGTTGGAAAAGTACCACAAAGTAAATAAATGTCCACACTTTCTATTTGTATGGCATAATGAGATGGTGACAGCGCGGAGTGTACTGAGATTAGCGGAGCTGCATGTGGTGGTGAAATTACCCGAGACTCCTGTGGGGATAAGTGTTTAAATCTGTGGGCCGTCGGTAATGACGTATTTCACTTGCAAAGGTGACATTTTAGCCCCAGCTGTCAGGGAAATGATCGAGAACATTAACTCACTTGAGACTTTAAATGGGGACAAATAACAGTTTGAACTTTGCATTTTAAACTTGGGGGAATAAGGAGGGTTATCTCAGAGCAAGATGTCTTCTGGCTCATTTACATTTTTCATTTATATACAGTCTACAGCAGGCATGTCCAAACTATGGCCCGGGGGCCAAATGCGGCCCTCAGACAAATTTTTCTTGGCCCTCAGACTTCCAGGTGAATTGGCCCAAATGACCTTGCATCAATTTAAGAAATATTTTTTACTGCAAGTTTTTTGAAAATCTGCCTTGATAAAGCTAATATTGAATATTTAGTGTGTGATTTTGAGGATCTTAGCAGGAATAAAGACTGATGGCTCATTCTAATGTGTTAAACATGCACGTATTTCAATTATTCACTGTATTGAGCATCAGTCTACGGCCCTCGATCGGCCCTCTGCTTCATCTGTGTTTACATATGTGGCCCTTTATGAAAAAAGTTTGGACACCCCTGGTCTACAGTCAAGACAACAAAGTGTCAGACCGATGGAAACTGCATCCCCTGCTCCATCTGATTCTCTCCTCTGCTCCTCTTCTCTATCTGACCTTCTCCTTTGCTCCATCTGATCCTCTCCTCTTCTTCATCTGACCATCTTCTCTCCTCCATCTGACCCTCTCCTCTGTTCCTCTGCTCATCCCTGACCTTCTCCTCTTCTCCATTTGACTCTTTCCTCTGCTCCTCTGCTCCATCTGATCGCCTCCTTTGCTCCATATGACCCTCTCCTCTGCTCCTCTGTTCCATTTGATCCTCTCCTTTGCTCCTTTGCTCCATCTGACCTTCTCCTCTTCTCCATCTGACCCGTTCCTCTGCTCCATCTGACCTTCTCCTCTTCTCCATCTGGCCCTCTCCTCTGCTCCTCTTCTCCATCTGGCCCTCTCCTCTGCTCCTCTTCTCCATCTGACCCTCTGCTTTGTTCCATCTGACTCTTTCCTCTGCTCCTCTGCTCCATTCTGACCCTCTCCTCTCCATCCTCTTGAAGCATTCTCCCTCTTTCACTACAGACCTTCTGTTTTGTAACCTACCAATTCTTTGCTGCTCTCTGCACTTGTCTGCTCCTCTGTCTCTGCTCCTCTGTCTCTGCTCCTCTGTCTCTGTTCCTCTGGCTCTCTGCTCCTCTTATCCTCTGTCTAAACCAAAATACCATCATTACATTTTCTCTGTTTCCGTTAGTGCATGTAGGCAGTGTCTTCTCAACAGCCTCTTTAACCTCTCATGAGCGTATTTCCTTCATAAAACCCTCTCTCTTATGCAAATGAGGTCACCACCAAACCACTCAAACGTATTAGACGCGCGCCTTTATCCACTTAACATGCAAAACCAACTAAAGGGCCACTTCACTGTTTTATTTTTAAACAAAGACTAATTGCAAAAGTGGTGGACCTCCTACACAGCAGCAGCTTGTGTTGGTAAAACAAGGGCAAGTAAAGTTACCCTTTTTTGGTAGGGATTGGGTTCATAAATTTCCCATGTGAATCTTGTGGCTAAAAACTGTCAGTGTGTCCTTAGGCAAGACACTTCACCCACATCGCAGACAATGAGGTGATTGAACAATGCTCTGTGAAACGCTTTGGGTGTCTTGAAAGGCGCTGTATAAAATGCTTAAATGACTAATTGATGAATTCATGATTACAAAACCATGATATTTAACAATATACTACAATTTCACAAATTTGACACCATGCACAGTAGCTTTGTTAGTGGGAAACATGCCAGTTAGTTTGATAGTGCTCTGAAGGGGGAGGGAGAGCATAGGGAGGTGGGAGGGCATTTCAAAGAGTCAAATCCGTCATTATGTTGTTTTCGGCGAATGCAGCATTTTCAAAACAATAAAAGGTAACATGGTGATCTAAATATGTTACGTGTTAGCAGTTAATGCCCCATAAAAGCGTAAATACCCCCTCTTTAACACGACTGGACTTTCCATTGCTCACTGTTTTGTCCTGTTTGTTTTACAGAGAAGTCTCCAAGCACCAAAACATCGGCCAAGATGAAGCCGATCGCGGAGAGCCTGGAGGACGATGTGTTTGAAGCGTCAGGGGCTAAAGCTAGCCGCCTGTCCAGCACCTCCACCGAAGAGGTCTAACCTGCTCCACCGCCTGTCCAGCACCTCCACCGAAGAGGTCTAACCTGCTCCACCGCCTGTCCAGCACCTCCACCGAAGAGGTCTAACCTGCTCCACCGTCCGTCACCGAAGAGGTCTAACCTGCTCCACCATCCGTCACTGAAGAGGTCTCACCTGCTCCACCGACTGTCCAGCACCTCCACCGAAGAGGTCTGATCTGCTCCACCGTCTGTCCAGCACCTCCACTGAAAAGGTCCAACCTGTTCCACCGCCCATCACCGAAGAGGTCTAACCTGCTCCACTGTCCGTCACCAAAGAGGTCTAACCTGCTCCACCATCCGTCACTGAAGAGGTCTCACCTGCACCACCATCTGTCACCGAAGAGGTCTGATCTGCTCCTCCATCTGCCCAGTACTTCCACCGAAGAGGTCTAACCTGCTCCACCGTCTGTCCAGCACCTCCACCAAAGAGGTCTATCCTGCTCTATCATCTGTCACTGAAGAGGTCTGATCTGCTCCTCTGTCTGTCCAGCACCTCCACCGAAGAGCTGCTGAAAAACTCTCATCTGCTCCAAAGACCCACTGTACACTCCAACTTTTAAACACGTCCAGAAGAGTTGACAAAAGACTGAAATATGAACGAAGGTACAAGGACAATCACATTTCAGAACATGTTTGCAAAGGTGGGTAGTACTCATACACATAGTTTTACTACAGTACTATTTTGTGTTGAAGTAACAGTAGACACTTTAGAAGAAAAACCACAGCATTTACTCAAGGAGGAGTAATGTGACAAAAACTTTCTGTGACAATATGAAATTGTTTAAACGTGTTTCTTGCAGCGCTCCTTAAGATATGATTTTGTTTTTCCCATTTCTGCACCCGTCCTTTGAAAAGATCATAGTTTGTGTTTTATTGAATGTTTTGTTTTTCCAGTTATATTGATTTGAAATTATTAATCACATGTTATGTCCAGACACTTTCACTTTAGTGGTAGTTTCTGCAAATACATTTTTCTTCAACCACTACTTTGTACTTCTACTTAAGTAATTTTATTTTTGTTACTCTACCCACCTCATCATGTTTATACCGATCTAAACTACAGGGTTAGCCATTTCTTTATACAGAATAAGACTGTAGAGATTTTGCTGTTTGTGGGGCACTTTACAGCCCTTGTGATTTGTTAATTGTGTGTATTTAAAATACAGTTGTAATTGTTAATCTTGCAGTCCTGCTTGAGGCGTCAAACTGGGATCCAGTTGAACTTACTCAAGGTTGTGGAGTCACTTCTGATTTGACAAAACCAAACTGAGTAACTTTAGGTTCATGTGCTGCTTGAAGCTGGATATGAATTTTCTGTCAATCCCAAAGCCACTGATGACTGCAGTGACTCAAAACTCTGAACTTACCCAAACGTAAAGCACATCTGTTCTGCAAATCCATGTTATAATTGTTTCCTTCTCACTGGAGTGATTTGTTCATGTTTGAGTCATCTTTTATCACTTATTTTCAAGACGCCATGTCACTGATCAACTCCTGTTTTCACTGCCACTGCTGATGTACTTAGTTTTCCATTTTCATTTTCTTAATCAGTCACGCATGTAGGATTGGACAGCATCATGTAGTCATTTTGGTACAAATGAAAAAAAATAATAATAATCTGCTGCTCATTAACATGATTCACAACTATCCAACTCCAGGAGGCGCTGACATTTTCACAGCTCTTTGTTTGTCGCTCCCATTGGACTCTGCAGTTTTCTAATGCACAGGTCAGCAGACTTGTTTCTTTTATTAAGTTGTTTTAGATAAATATTGACATTTAAAATGTGCAAATTATAGCATAATGATCCACGGGTCTCGTAAATTATTGCGGACACAAGCACAATAAGACTTCTTTCAACTAAATAGGCTTCTAGCAACAGGCCTTTGTCACCAGGACAATTAACAGGTACATTTGAGCACATTTCTTGTCATAATATCATCAGTATTAAAAACAGTAGACTTTTCCAGGACTAATGAATGCATAGACTGGTCCATTTAAAGACGCACCTTTCTCCACAGAGATGTTCTTGTTTTGCCTGGAATGGTCCACAATATGGCATTAATATATGGCATTATCTATTTTATCATTATTTATTTGCATGTATTCAGTTACGGTGTTTTTATTGCTCAGAAATACCTTGGAAAACTAGCGCCTCCGCTCAATTTAATTTCTCTCCAGCAACTAGGTCAGGAATCAGAATACACTAGATGGTCTGCAAGAGCCGCACAAGTTGTAGACCACATACCGGCCAATCAGCAAAGAGCTGTGAAGCCATGATGTTAAACTCGTTGCGCCTGTCTGGGTCCCTTTTGTGGTACAGCACAACAGTAAACAAAGCGGTCGAGATGGATGTAGATGAAGACGAAGACACGTTCTGTATTCGTAACGATTCCAGAGATCGAGGATTTATAGCCGGAACCAAGAAAATGTCTGGTGAATTTTATCAAGGGTAAACCTTGAGCAACTTTATTGCTCTTCTTTCTATGGAATTTGGGAAAAACTTAATATCCCAGTTAGTCCCGTTAGCCACGACCAAATAGCAGCAATTGATTAAAAAAAAAAAGTACCCACCTACTGTCAAGTGAACGTATCCTAAAGCTGTGAGGTCAGACGGTTTCCACAAAGTGAAACCGGCTGATGAATCGGGCTATTGGAAAACATGTATTCTCACTATGAGCACCTCTACACAGATCTGACCTGTACCTTGGCTATCACCTGCTTGTTTCCATGGACTAGGCTGGTCAAAAGTACAAAAAATCAGACACTAAAACTTTAGCGTCATGACAACACTACCATGGAGAGATAAAAGCTTAATGCCATGTAGTGGGACATTCAGAGCAAAGCAATAACATCTCCATGGTGAAAATCTAATGGCGTGCAACTTTAAAACACCTGAAGTCCATCTGAACCCTGTCCCTGTACCACATATTGAGAAACCCTGGACAGTTCATAGTAATCCATGTTTTAGGACTCCGTACGTGTAAGAACTGTGTTGTATTATTGCGGTTTCATTTAAAAGTGTTTGAAAATGTCACTGTGTGTTGCACTCGTGTTTGTCGGCAGCTCCGATTGACTCTTGTAATGCTAGAAAATGTGTTCATGGAAAATTGACTTCACTTGTTGGATTTTTGTTATTTAAATAAAATTTTGTTAAAAGACTTTGCAGTATATCATTTAGATTTTTTAAACAATGAATGCTCAGTAAAAAATAAAATCAGTTTTACTAGGTCGCCCCCTTCTGGACATATGAATCACACTGTAGTTCTAAGCAGTAGCGGCTGGTGGTATAATTTTTTGGGGGGGGCACAGGCGAAAATTATGACTATGTATTATAAATATACGTATTATATATATATAGGCCATATAGTATTATAACTAATACCAGAGACAGACAGTCATTTTGGCCATTACTGACTGAACTACATCCTCCTGGGACCCGAAGAAAAAAAGTGCATTGCAATATATATAGATATTTTTTTGTGATTTGCAGTGAACATTTTGTATGTAGAGCCATCAAAGCAAAACCCCGATCCCTCGCTCAACCTTGGTTATGAATTTAAAAAGTCAATGCCAAAGTGAAAGGCACCAACTGTTCACCAAGAAACACCTTCCACTGCAAAGAGACCAAGACATGATGTTGCTGTAAAACCACAAGAACAAGAAAATGCGAGCTCAGACGGTTTGTCTTCTGCACCTCTCGCTTAACAAACGGGATCCTGTTTTGTTGGTGCTTCATAGACAAAATGTTCTCTGCAAACTCGGGATGATTTCTTAGGTAGACAAATTTTTCCTTTTTGGTCCTTCCTATGGATCAATTCTGCCCATCAACTTCACCTTTCACTATTTTTCTATTCCACTGGGAAGGGAAACAGTTTGAACGGAGGTTTGCAGTCACACAGATCTCACTTATGGAGTTCACAAACTTCCAAAGCCCATTTCTCGAGCCGTTTTCCGCTGTTAGGACATCCAACAACTACACAACTATGATGTCCGAATCCCATAACTAAAATATGACAATATCAGAACCAGAAACAAAAGCGATATGGTTCAAAAGACTTGAAAAGTTCAGCTTTGTCAATAGACATATCACACAGGGAAATCAAACATGGTGGTCTGATGCTCACTTTTTCGGAAAATCCTTCCCAGTATGCCATTGCGTGATGACCGGAAGCCCAAAATTTGTGATGCATGTATTCAGTTGAACTTACTCAGAGATGTGGATTGACCTCTGAGTTGATAAAACAAAAGAGTCAACAGCGGAATGGTTTCTCCGTGAAGTGCTTTTGTAATTTCTGCAGTCCCTGAGTCCCAAACCTCTTCTTAAACACAGAGCACTGGTCTTTTTTGCCTTCAACTCCTTCGGCTGTTCTAAAGACTAACTTACTCACTGAGCTTTAGACAAGAGCAGTGCCTCCAGTTATCACTGAAGATTTGTAGACATGGTTGTACAATAAATGTTTTTTATTAGCATTAAATTACATCATATTTAAAGCCATAGTGTGCAACTGTCCAGACAATGTAACAAAATCCCTAAAAAGACCAGCAGGTGGCAGAAACTCACCTGAAAAGTTACAGAATATTTTGAAAATATTTGTACTAAACTTTTTTTTCACATTCGTATAAAAAACTTAAATATTTTCTCAAAACATCTACATAAACCAAAACATAATGCATTGTAAATATTGCAAAAGAAAACTGTCAAGTGGGCAAACCTTTTTTTAGTACATATTTTTGCTTCTTCAGTTCTGACAGGGTTCTTCTTCTTCTTCAGTAACAAAAATGTACATTCAATCACATTCAGTTGAGTTTTAGTCTGTCTTTTCTTATAGAATCCGCGCTCGTAGCTCTCTGACCCTGGGCGTTTCCTTTGTGAGTCCAACGTCGATGTTGTAGACCGTAGTTTGGATGAACGTGTAGAAGCCTGCCAGCGCTGGGTCATATGGGACACAGAAGACGTAGTGGGCTTTAAACAGAGCGTCAAAAGCAGCTAATGTGCTCTCTGCGGCGCACGGTAGAGCCGTCTGGTCGATAACAACGAAGAACTCTTCTATGTGCTTCTTTCTCTCCCCGACACAAAGCAGGAAGGGCTGTCTCTGCTCCACCGTCTCCAGGAACGTGGACACGCTTCTGCCTTTCTACAATTGAAACAAAAATTAATTAGAATTAAACAAGAATCTAATATCAGTATTCATTTGAAAAGGCTTTAGGGCAATTGAGGAAAGGGGGTTTATTTAGAGACTCCATGACAGGTTGGACAATTCATTTTACTAGAATTAACAATTTTTAAGCCATTTAAGTCATTTTTTTAGGTTACATATTTTACTTTCTGGTTGGAAATCATGATATCACGCTACCCACTTACAATAGGGTCATTCCACGTCAAATCCCCTCCGCTCGACCATCTGAATCCATTTGACTGAAAAAATTCTAGGAGGCTGCACACACTTTCCAACAGGAAAACTCCCAAATTTTAGCTCCCAACTCATTATAGTTTTGTCATTAAGAAATATTTTGTCAACTCTCCCCCGACCTGTTTTGAGCAGAGTTTTCCAAGGAGCTACTTTCCGATTGCTGTATCTAAAACACTATTTAAGGTCGGTCCTTAAAATTTTCAAGGGCTAATATTTGGCAAATGTACTTGTAGAATTTGGACTTTTACACATGTGCTTTTGGTTTATCACAGATTTCTGGGGGCTTGAATTTGCTTGAAAATTCCCCTCTTCAAATCTGAGGGCATCTTTGAAGGACTGTGCAAAGAGCAATTTCAAAGACAGAGGTTTGATATTGAACATACACCTTCCCACACATGCTGTGAACTTTATATTTTAAAACTGACCCGCAGTGATGAACGCTCTAGATATTGTTAAGTGTTAAAAATTTGAAAAATGTATTTAGTGCCATCTTTACCAGGTTATACCAAAAAAAAAGACAGCACCCACCAACATAAAATGTACTGTTTTAGATGTCTGTTTTTAACATATCCAAACTTCGTGATGGTGTTCTGCCTTATTTTTGCAAAATGAATTTTTGAAAATGTGGTGCCCACATACATGCATAGTATTCATGGACTATGAAGGCACTTTCAGAAGCCAAGATCATTTTTCTCTTGTGGCAATTTTGTCTCACAAGATTTTGTGGCACAAGATCTTGTCCCATTCCTATTGAGTACAACTACTTTATCCACCTCTCAGACGCATAAAGAAAACTCACTTTGACAAATCTAAAGAGGCGACTGGCCGCCTGAGCAGAGCTGATCTTGGCCATTTTCTGTGGTCCTCTCGGTGTTGGAGGAAGGAGGTGGAGAAGCAGAAGAAGAGATGTTACATCGCTGTCCCAGCCTTTAAAATCACAAAGAAGACAAGTTTAGATTTTAGAAAACACAGGTAATGTTTTCGCACTTTTAGTATAAGACTGAACAATTTGGAAATCAATTCAAATTGTGTTTTTTCTAACAAGCATTGTGTTTTATGTTCTAAAGGGCCCGTATTACGCTATTTTCTGATCCGTGTTAGATTGTTTCCTCATCACAAACAGACCCGAAGTTGTGTTTTGTTTCATTCACACGTTTACTTCAAAACTGTAATGTGTTATTTATGACTTGTTATTGTAATTTCAAAGTAATTTGTTACATTACAACTACATTTAAAATGTAAAACATTACACAACTGTTGCAGCACAGTTACTCTCACCAAAATAACTGTGAAGATGCTGAACCTTTGCGCTGTGTATGGACTGAACCAGGACTAAACCAGAAAAGAACCGAGGACTGAACCGGGACTGAACCAGAGCTGAACCAGGTCTAAACCAGGTCTAAACCAGGACTGAATGGAGGACTGAACCAGGAGGAATGAACCAGGAATGAACCAGGACAAAACCAGGACTTGGAATCTAGGACTGCCATTCAGAGAACAGTTCAGTTTCATAGTGTATTTTTAACGAGAATATGAGATTTTTTAATAAAAAAAAAAAAAAGAGAATATGAGAAATGACTTGACGTACATTGCTCACTTTCGGGGCTCGACTCCAGAGAGGACAGCAGCTCGCAGGTGTAGAGGTTTGGGATCTTTTGACATTCGGAAATCACTTTGGGCTTGAAGTGCAGAGGCCACTTGGAAATGAACTTTTCAGAAATCTCATCACCAAATAGCAGGGAGAAATCTTGTTCTATCTTTAAACACACAACACAGCACAAACATATGGTTAAATAACAGATAGTAGGGTTGGAAAAAGTATTGAAAATCGGATACTAATCAATACTGAAAAACATGATATAAGAGTATAAGAGCGCATAGACTAGTGTACACCCATGGACCACTATGGAACCTCCCTGGACCACTGAGGGATTACACAGATTTAAGACCACATGGGACCACTGTGGTAAAAAGGAGCTGAGTCAAAAGGCAAAGCTCTTGATTTATCGTCAATCTACTTTCCTAACCTCACCTATGGTCATGAGCTTTGGGAAATGACAAAAAGAACAAGATCACGGATACAAGCGGTCGAAATGAGTTTCCTCCGCAGGGTGGATGTGTGCTCCTTTAGAGACAAGGTGCGGAGCTCAGTCACACAGGAAGAGCTCGGAGTAGAGCCGCTGCTTCTCCATGTCGAGAGGAGCAGCTGAGGTGGCCTGGGAATCTGTTCTGGGTGCCTTCTGGGCGCCTCCCTGCAGAGGTGTTTGGAGCATGTCCTACTGGGAGGAGGCCCCGGGGAAGACCCAGAACACGATGGCTGGCCTAGGAACGCCTCAGGATCCCCCTGGAGGAGCTGGAGGAAGTGTGTGTGGAGAGGGAAGTCTGGGCCTCCCTGCTCAGACCGCTACCACCACGACCAGGCCCCAGGTAAAAAGAAGAAAATGAATGGAAGGATGGGAATATAAAAGAAAGTACTACCAATTAATGTTGAAAATCACATTCTATTTGAGTATACTGAACATGAAGCCTAGTCCTTATTATGGAAATCAAGCATTTTTGTATCGTGACAACACAAACAGTTACATTAGCGTTTTGATTAGGGGTGTGCAAAAATACTGAAATATCGGTATATTGTATTGTTTAATGTGATGATACAGTATCGATATCGTGGGCTGCTGTATTGATATATCACCAAGAGTATTTTTTGGTATCTTTTATAAATTATTTTGTTACAGAGCTACAGTTCTGTTTGTTCAGAGGAAGGAAACTCGTTTATGCGACACATTTGACATTTTCACTGTTTGATTAAAATGTTTGTCTTTCATGCGAACTGTGCACAAGAAGTGGTTTAACAAAGACTTTTAGTATCACAGGCACAGTTCAGCCTTTATTTTTTATTGAACTGTATCGAATTGTAAATATATCGTACTGAATTGAAAACTCACTGTATCGAGGTATGTATCATATCTGCAACTTCTTAATGATACCCAGCACTAGTTTCGATATTGCTCAATATGTAACTTTTGTGATGGACGGTTCTCCACCTGCTTGTCTCATGAAGATCGTTTTTGCCTGGAATGTTCCACAATATGGCATTAACCTAAACTTATCCATTTTGCGTTTATTCATTTATAGATGTTTTAATGCTTAAATTACCGTTGTTACAATACTAAAATTTCACACTGCCATTTTGATTCTAAGGAAAAGACACGACACTCAGTACAGATTCCAATACCATGATGATATTTAGAATAGAATAGTGATTTTCAGCATTAACTCATAGGACTTTCTTCCATAGTGGTCCATGGGTGTATACTAGTCTATGTGCCATTATACTTCATTCAGGAAAGGTTAATTTCTGTCCTCTCAATTCAACTTTTTTAGTATCGATACCTGTGAAAAATGATTACCGTATTTTTCGGACTATAAGTCACACTTTTTTTCATGGTTTGGGTGTTTCCTGCGACTTATACTCCGGTGCGACTTATATATTAAAATTATCAGACTGACAGCCACAAGAGGCTCTAGGCTCATGTGTCAGTATCTAGTACGACTATTACTCCTGTACCACTGTCACTTCACTCTCTACTGCGCATGTCTCCTAGAAAAAGAAAAAGCCGCTGTCTCACTGCAAATAGTGAAATATTCAGCTGAAAATGGTAATCGAGCAGCAGAAAGAAAGTTTGGAGTGAGAAACTTGTGACGGACTGGTAGAAAGCGGGGATGGAGAACACAGTTTCACAGAAACCGGGAGGGTGCACCATGAAACTTTCCTGGAAGTCACTGGATGAATCGACAAAGCCTGGACTTCAATGAAACCGAAACCATCCTGTCGGGATTCAGAAAGGCCTAAATAATTCTAACTGGAACCGATGCTGAGTCTGAAGACAACTACACAGAGGAGGAAGCGGCGCTCTGTTTACATCAGGGATCTATGTTTTACAACCGGAGGCTGCGCAGAAGTGACCCCAAGGATGAACAATTCAATGGATTTAGTGATTTGGAGTGAGATAGTGAGTTTGGTAAACTTATGTTATGTTGTTTAGGTTATAGTTATCTGAAGTAGGGATGGGCATGATTAGTCGATTAATCGATAATTGATCATTAAGAATTTCATCGATTACGTAAATTTTAATCGACAAACCGAATGCAGGTTACTGTGTGTAGCGTGACCAAACGGGGGTCTGTACAAGTAGCTCTCTGCACTCAGAAGGAGCGAGCAAACACAAACAGTCAGTCCGCCTGCAACGTACCGAGGTGCATATGCGTATTTAACGATGACTTGTACAAGAAATTCCACACTTTCCGTTCCGGTCGAGACAAGTGTGAGTCCATGTGCACAGTGAACAAAGTAGCACATATGTTTCGGTGTCCAGTGGGAAAAAGCTTTGCCAGGTGAGAGTAGCACAATATCGATGACGAGTCCCCACCTCCCACCCCCGAACGGTGTCCTGGTTTTGACAAACGTTAATATGGTCACACTAACCTGTATTCCTTTGAGTCATGTCTTTTAATCCAACAGAAGTTGACCGCATCAGCGACACAAGAGCTGTAGTTTTTACCTTCGCTTAGTTTATGCAAATTAGCGATGCAGTTTTAAGTTTCGTTTCTGTGAGAGTTGAGCAAAACTGAATTAAACACATTATAATAAACGGGCTGATGTGGCTCTAGAGTGGTTACAGTTCATTTGTCGTACAGTTGAATTTATTTATGCAGATTAGAAGTGCAGATAGTAATAATAATGATGATCATTTTAACATAAAAACGTTAATGATTAATCGATAATCGATCGTTAATTCTCTCGACGATCGATTAAGAAAATTTCATCGAATGCCAATCCCTAATCTGAAGTACTGTTCATATGTGACAACAGCCTGTTGTTCTCTATTCTGTTGTTATTACTATAACTTGCCTTTCAAGATGAAATGTCGGTTTCTGGTCTCTGATTTTATAAAATACAGTATATAAGTGTGACTTATATATATATATTTTTTTCTTCATTGCGCATTTTTTGGCTGGTGCGACTTATACTCCGGAGCAACTTATAGTCGGTAAAATACGGTATCTGTTTTCAATAATAGTTTTAGTATCGATAAGTGACCGATTTTCTATACTTTTGATTAGCTGAGGTTAAATACTTGGCCTAGTGGTGTTTCCCGCTTGACTCCAGAGCTTGACAGGTATTATGTTATTATGCTCCATGGAGATAAGAAGATGACAGACCTTCAACCAGTGAAGTTTCATAGTGCAGCTTTAACGTACTTACTAAACCAGGAGTATCCAGGAAACGAGGGAAAACGTCAAAAACACTTGAGACGTCTTCTCGATTGTGGACCAGGTTCTGTCTGTATTTAAAAGTGGCCCTCATCTTCTCTCGAACCACAGATTTGTCGACGGACTGGGAGAGGAGTGAGAGGGCCTGCGCGCACTCCTCTCCGTGGAGCTGATCTTCAGACACCAGGGGGAGCCGCAGAGTGGTGGGGCTGCACTGGAGCTGTACTGGCCGTGATTTTTTGAGTCTTGGTCTGTAGTCTGAAGATTTACGCTGGACAGTCTTGAGTCTCCACGCCAAATAGCCAGTGCTGCTGATGGGATCGTAGAAGTGCTCCTGTTTACACAACAGACTGGATTAGTGCAAAAATCACCACGTTCTAAAGGACTAAAAAAGGACATTCTAAAGGACTCTGAAGGAACTATGTCCAGATCCCTCGATTAAAGCTGCACCGACAGCACAGAACAGATTCAATTTGTCAACTGGACAAAAGTCGAATACGTTTCACAGCTCATCCAAGCTGCTTCTGCTTTTTCAGTTCTGGTCAAACTCAGGTGGACACTGTCTTACATCTGCCTGAAGGGGGAGCTAACTACACTGAAACTACTCTGAAACTAACACACATACTTGTTTACAGTTTCTATTGCACTGATACAAAAAAAAAAAAAAAAAGCTGGATCTGATATTTGCTTCAAAATATCGGTTCAACCAATATCCTGGTTCAATGTATAGATTGATGTGACAGGACTAGTTAATAGGGCCACAGTAGTTCAGTTGGTAAGAGCGTTTGTTGACTGATCAGAAGGTTTATGTTATTAGGTTCTTTTTTCAGACCAAGAGTTTGTTTTCATACTTGACAGTTTCAACTGCTCCCTGCACTCTTCCTCAGAGTCGCTGATTTAAACAGGTTTTGGGGCGGTCTTCTTACCGGTCGAGGCAGGATGACAGCGCCACCTGCAGTGCAACTTCCTCAGGACAATATCCCGGGTGTGTGAGAGTAAAAAAGCCCCTCGTCCCCATTTATAGTCCCGTGGGCACGTTTCCGTATTTCGATTGTTTCTTTAATGTAGTGACAATGTCACCACTCTGTCCCAGTGATGTTTGCTCTGTCCCAGTCCAGAATGTGCTTCTGTCTTTTACGCCGTTTTTTTACAAACGGCAACAATGGTGTTTCGCCTTCGCTGTTTCCTTCTCGCATTCTGTCCTGTGTTCCTTTTTTCGTGGACTGAACGCCCTCCCTGTTTCCCCGGTGTGTGATATGTGCATTTCCCCGACAAGCGGGGTATTTCATATATGACATTACATTTGTCCCCTAGTGTCTGTGTACACTGGTGCATGAATGGGTGTGAATGTGTGAGTGATTCGAAGTGGTGTGAAGGTGAAAAAGCACTGTATAAACATGTGACCATTTACCATTCATGTTATAGTATAGTTTCACCAGAAATATGAATTTCAGTTTGAATTTCTTTCTATAATTTCTTTCTATACTTCTATAGCTGTTCTCTGGGTTATGTAAGGCATAAATAAGAGATTTTGTTTTAAAGAAATAAAGTGCTATTGGTTATTGGCAGACACTTAAAGCTATAATATCAAAACAGCTCTCGGAACTGGAAAAGCTGCACTCTGTCCAATCTTCTCACCATGAGCATCATAATACAAGTTTTTTGTGATATTTTTTGTAAATATTATTTCTGACTTTTTCCTTATGTAGTGCTTTGACAGGGCTTTGGCTGATAATGTCATAAAAATAAAGTGCTTAATAACAGTTAACACTTAACGGTTTAGTTTGACTGAAGTTCCCTATATGTACTTCCCTATACATAGTTCCCTATACTGTATGTACTTCCTCTGTTTCTGTTGCTGCACCATAAAAATAGATTTTGTAGTTGGATATATTCTGCTGGTGCACTGTGTTAATGTGAGACTTTTGACAACACTGTATCACAGTATGTGGGTTATTTGTTTATTTATTTAATGAAATAAGGAGAGTGCACAATACACAAAAACCTTAACAGAAGAGCTACACTGTGACAGGTTGTAGCACTAGAGCTTATTTCCACCTCTAGTCCCTGGGCAGGTTGACGTTATAGTTCATATACATTTATATAATTATGCCTTATTTGACTTAATAAAGTTTGTCTAAATTTAAGTCTAAAATCAGACATACAAAGAGACTGTTTTTATAATGACTGGAGCCTCATAAAAATTCTGTATCCTCATTCACACCCAATTCTCTCTGCATCTTAAAACTCTCATTCTTTATCAAAATCTTCATTCAATTAATTCGCCCCAGGACATCACACTCTCTCCAGACACTCATCAGTCCACATTATGGGCGCAGGTTTGGTTCGAAAGGAGCCACTGTTTTGACAGACATGAAAATGTGCCGTAGTTTGTACATGTGCTCAGCTTTGTTGGTAACATGTTCCACTGACGGATGGCCACACATGAAAAGGCTGAGTTTCCAAATGCTGTCCTGCGTTTGGGGATCCTGCACTATTAGGGATGTAACTATATCCAAATCTCTTGGTACGATATTTTCATGATATACATCTCACAGTACAATGTTTATTGTGATATTTTGTGGAAGCTCAACAGGTAAAACTGTTAATATTTCCTCTTAAAATGCCTTGACAAGACTTAATCCAAAAAACTAAGACTTAAAAGTGCTTAGAACTATTATTTCTTCTTGTAGTCTGCGCTGAAATGGAGCAAAGGATCATGGTTGATGTAGTTCCCTCTGTCTTTTTTTAGCTGTTGTTGCACCATAACTCTTAATTTAAGCAAAGAGACTTGTAATTCAATATATTGTGATGGTCCACGATATTATTGTGGGAACTTTGACGATACGATATCGCGATATTTCGGTTATTGTTACATGCCTATGCACTATTGTTTATTACTAGGGGTCTAACGATATCAAAATCCCTCGATACGATATTTTGACGATGTGCATCTCACGGTATGATATTTAATACGATATTTTGTGGAAGCTTACGAAATTGTGAATATTCTACTTTTTCCATTTAAAAGCCTTGAACAACCTTTGGTACTGTTATAATAGGAAGAATTAAGATTTAAAAGTACTTAATAAGTTATTTCTTCATGTAATCTGCATTGACAACACCAAAGGATCACGGTCTATGTAGTTCCCTCTGGTTTTTAGCTCTTGCTGCACCATGGCAAGGCAAGGCAAGTTTATTTCTATTCATAATTCAATGCACTTAACAGCATAAGAAATACATTAAGATCACAAAGACAGACTTGGAAGCACTTGCAATTCGATATATTGTGATGGCCCACGATATTATTGTGAAAGTTTTGACGATATATCATGATATTTCAGTTATTGTTACATCCATAATCCTAAACTGTTATAATGTCTAAACACATCCCATTTTCAGAATAAAATCTCAGGGTTTTGTAAATAAAATGACAACACAGCCATAAATTAAAGATTCAGACTTTTACTCACAAATCCGTTTCTTGAGAAAGGATCTTGCAGATTTGGAAACAAAGCAACGATGCCCCTCGCAAACGCTGTCCGGATACATCTTGGTGGTTGTTTTCTGTAAAAAAAAAAAAATACAGTTTTGTTTTTCTTCTTTGCATTTAAGTGCATAGGACAGTTTAGACCAATTTCATTATGTTAAAATATAGTTAACAATCATCGTATTTCCAAATTGCATAAAACTATGAAAAATATTATAACTTCATAACTTTTTTAAACATGGGGCATGTGGATGAGTGATGTGTTTGGGGAGAAAGTTCCAGAGGGTGGAGGCAGCAGCAGTGAAGGCCCTGTCACCTCAGGGCCTTCACTGCTTCGCGCTCAGGATCTTATGTTTAGTCCTCATGGAGAGAGACAGGAGGTTGGCGTCTGCATGAAAATATAAGTGAAAACATGCACAGCACACTCAGATGGCAGATGTCCAAAAGCCTTTTTAATTTACTAATAATGTTTCGGTGGGATAGAAATTTATACTTTGGAAATATTTCTCTCAATCTGTCGTTGTGTAAATGAATGTGAGTTCTACCCGAGACCAGACCAGTCACAAACATGTAAATTCTCAGCAGACACAACCTTCCCTCCCCCACAGGAAACTGTTGTTCTACCCGTCCTCAAATGTAAGTTATTGGTTCTAAGTTAAATGTAAAGTAATGCAATGTTAAGGTTGATTAGCACAAGTCTCTGAAAAGTCGTTCTGCTTTGATATGAATGTAACTTGTATTTCTGTATAAATACTCAGAGCTCAGATGCTCTGGGGGGAGATGGAGATAAGGGGTGACTGGAGAGAGGATACTCAAGAGAGACTGCTGGTCTCTTGCCAGAGCAGGTCTTGACCCTAATTTCATGGGTTCTTTTGTAACGATAATACAGTAAAGTGTACCACCAACACCTGTGACAGTTCTGAAAATGGTTTGCAGCAGCAGCTGAAACATGTCAACAAGGTGAATACACTTTACTGTATTGTCTTTAAAAAAGAACCTAAGAAATTAACATACATAAGAAGATAAAATGAACATCTCTGGCTTAAGGCCTAGGCCCTCTCCATATCTGCTGTAACAAGAATAAACCTTTGTCTGTGTTTCAAAAACTCATCAGACTTCACAGATTGATTTATTATTTATATCAAGAGATGTATTAATATTTTCCACAACATAGGCAAAAAGGCTTTTTGCCAAAACTGTATTTACATCGGGTATTGGCCATGAGTGTGCTATGTATTTTTTCACCTTTATATTGCTAGTCCTTGCATTTGGTGTGTGTTTTCTGTTTCAGTGGCGTCAGTGTGAAAAAATGAAAACTATCGCTAGGCTACCCTTTGTAATTTGCCAACTGTGTCCTTTCAAACTGCAGTTATGATTAGATCTAATTAAAACTTGCTAATAAACAAACGTACCCGTAGGAATCGATCATGGCCGTGACCAGGATGTTCACCATCAGTCGACGTGTTCTGTCCGACAGCCTTTTGGTTTTGAAATACTCACGAAATATACTCGTCCCTTTTGGATGGGACTTCAGAGCACTTTGAACAGTCTGTGGGGAAACAATTACACAAAAATGATTAAATAGTTTCCCTTTATTGCCAAATATTAGATGAACTAGGGGTAGGGTTGTCAAAAGTATTGAAAATTAGGGCTGTGCCAAAAATCAAAAATCAACAGATCACAATCTCCACTTTGGTCGATCTTTTTTCTTGTCTGTGGTTGTAATTTTACCAAAACTGAACTGGTCAAGCCACTAACAAGCTTGCAGTATCAATTAGTATGTAGGCATCGATTCTTCTGTAAAGAATCGGTGTGTTACCTGTAGGGCTTCAGTGCGGTCCATGTCTGTGGGCGGCTCTTTTCTCTTTCTTGGGGAGGGTCGTGCGATGGCGGACTCATTAGACAAAAAGGACGTAACGTTTTCCAGCAGTGAAGGAGTCGGAGATGCGGGAGATTTTGAGCCATCGCAATCTTCAGCAGTGAAATCCAGGGTCATGGAGGGGTCATCTGCAACATCAAAATGTGAGTTTAAAGGATACAGGTTACGCCATTTTCTGATCTATGCCATAATGTTGCTTCCTCATCATAAAACATACCCACAGTGGTGTTTTGTTTCATTAGCACATGTTTAACACACAAACCCTGCGTGTTTAAATCTTCTCTCAATCTAAAAACACTCTGTTCCTTGTGATGTCCTATGATAATACAGGAAGTGCTCCACTGTGTTTTTAAACTCCATACACCTTCACTAGAATCATTTGACTGATTCCAGCCCTGGAATTGCCAATCTCTACAGAACTAAAGGTAAAAGGAGCTGTTAACGTGATATGATACACACCATGGTACAGTGCACTTTCAGTTCGATACGATATATTTCTAATTGATTCAATACAATTAAATTTAAAAAAAAAAGCTAAATCATGGCTGTGATTTCTTTGTGAAGTCTTTGTTAAGCCAGTTCTTGTGAAAAGTTCATCTGAAAAACACATTTTAATCACCAAAACAGTATGAAAGAATGAGAGCCTCACACATCAATTACTAGAGATGGGTGCGTTGGAGTAGAGGGAGCAGCCCAAGAACATGGAGAAAAATCCCGCACACCGCAAACAGGTTTGCCTGACGAAGGCCTAGTGCCGAAAAGTTGCACGGTTTGTCCTAATAAATTTCACAATTTGCAAGTAAGACGGTGTGCGGGATTTTTCTCCACAATCATCAAAACAGTGAAAATGTCAAATGTGTCGCATAAACGAGTTTCCTTCCTCTAAACCAGGCATGTCAAACTCAGGCCCGTGGGCTAAATTTGGCCCGCGATATAATTATAGTTGGCCCACAAAATCATATCAAACATGTATTAGAGCCACCCACTGGCTACAGATCGACTATAGAGATGTCATTTATTTAAAATGTTGTTATTATTTTATATTATGCTTGTTCCGGAGTCAATGTTTAAGCAAAACTATTATTAAACATTTATTTTAATAAGAAAAGGTTTAACATTACACATCTCCAAAGAAGAAAAAACATGCAGATGCTGTTAAATTTTTTTTATAAATATTATGTTTGGTCCACGACTTAGTCCCAGTTTTTAACTTTGGCCTCTGTGAATTTGAGTTTGACACCCCTGATCTAAACAAACAACAAAACTGTAGCTGTAACAAAATTATTTAATAAAATATACCAAAAAATACTCTTGGCGATATATCGATACAGCAGTCCACAATATCTACCATAATAACTACCACTTCATGACATCACAAGGTTGAACAGAGCATGTTGAGTTTTGGAGATGTAAACAGAATAATAAAGGGTTACACAAACGTGTATGAATGAAACAAAACACAACTCCAGGTCTGTTTTTGAGGAGGTAACAACATTCTAACGTGGCTTAAAGATACGTTGTGTAACTTTTCTGGTGCATGGTCACCAACATCTTTCCAGGGAGATTTTGCCCTGAATGTTCCACAGTATGACATTATACTTAATCTTCAGGTGTTACGTGCAAAGTTACAGATCTGTGGAGCGGCGAGCCCACTCAGAGTCAGAATGCAAGTTTTTAAGTCAATAAAAATGTTGCCACTGTTGTTATTGAGTAAATGTCAGATGGATTTTGCAGACAAAGCAACATCTCCATGAAGAAAAGCACATCAGAAAATTTACACAATGTGCCTTTAAAGCTCACAAGAGTCAATTCTGTGTAATAGGATTTTAAAAGAATTAAAAAGCATTTGTAACCATCAGGCATTAGACTTTCAGGTGTTACTTAGTTCATTTTAATGCATATACTTTTATTTTGAAATTTGTGCTTTTATTTTGGTACTTCACACCAGTCCATGGAACTGAAAGTGTGAAAAATAAGTGAGAGAAATGAGAATGCAAGTTGGCAAAAAAGAGGCAACAAAATGGACTCATAAAAACAGATCTGTGATAAATTCATGTATTTATTTTCATGTTAAAATAAGCCAACTTTTATGTGCAATTTGTTGTAACTGCTTTACTACAAGTTACTTAGCTCTCAATATAAATGCACTGGAATATGAAATTATTACAAGAGATCGCTGATCATATTTTTGTATTTTCTTTAGCAGTTTCACTCTGCATTCATAAGATAAAGTGAGGACAGTACAGTCATAGAATATCATGGCGCAGCAGAGTGGTGTAACTCAAATAATCAGAGTTTTATTTTAACACACTCTGACTAAAAAGAGGAGTCTTAAGTGGGACTACAACAGGTGAGCTGTTTTGTGCTGTTAAACAAGTCTCTCTCAACATTTTTTCTGTTAGTCACTCTCCTAAACTCCTAAACAGGACCATAAACGCTCGTACTGATCACAGGCTCCTGAAAATGTCTTGTGTTAAGTATGCATTAAACAAAGAGCTGTGTGTTCTGCAGTTTTAACACACGCCGCAGAGTCGTAGAACATCACGATGCACAGCGGAGTGTGTAAAAACTGCAGAACGCACAGCTCCTCCTTGTTTAATGCGCTTTATACCACAGCTACAAACTGAAATGTCTCACCTGTGAATCTCAAAAGCCTATTTCCTGTCTGTAAATGTCTCAAATATTAGTTATTTCAGTGTTTTAGATAGATAGATTAGATACCGTAGATAAGATAGATAAGATAGATAAGATGGTAAGTCCCCCTGAATTGTACCCTTTATGAAAGTTAGATAATCTATATGCCCATACAAGCAAACAAAACATGCATTATCTGGTCTCAAATACAGTGTGTGAAATTACTCCTGTGGAATAGTCCACAGTGAGACACACTGTCCCAGGAACTCCTGTGTTCTCAATAAATGTGCCAACTATTTCAAGATTTTATCTTACTTCAATGAAAGACATAGTTAAGACCTTCCTAAAAGTGATTCTGAATTATTTTTGAACAAATTGTGTAGCTTTTTAAGTTTCTTGTGTTGCACTGCTTACAAATTATGTTCTTGGCAAACAGGTAAGGAAATAATCGATCATTACAGATGCTCTAGGACATGGCGGACAAGTAAAAAATATTTAAAACAGCGAGCAAATGAGGATTATATTGATACTACATACTGAAAAAATGTGTGCCACTTCGGGAAGATTGCTAAAATTATGGTGGTCTCTCTACATTCACATTTCATTTTATTATGATATAGAATGCTGATTTTCTAACTCAATACATCACAGATTAAAGGCTGGAAAGAACGTTGAGAGAATGGGACGCTCGAGCTGGGACTTTCAAGCCAGGGGGACACTCGAGCCGGTATTCGACAAGATAGATAAAATAGATTAGATAGATAAGATAGACACCTTATTGATCCACCGGAATAAATTGAGACTACCAGTAGCTTTTAAATGAAGCTAGTCTAGAGCAGAGATATGTTATAGCATTAAACAACGAGGAACAGCGCGTTAAAGCTGCAGAACGCCCGGCTCCAAGTTATAAAATGCACTTATACCACAGCTACAAACTGAAATGTGTCACCTGTTCCCTGTTTGTAAATATATAAAAACCTCAGTTATTTCAGCGTTTTAAATTATACTAGTTACTACATTCAGCTCACAGTAGTTGAGCATACATACTGAGAGACCATCCTTAGACTGACCTGTTACGGGATACCGACAGTGAACGGATAACTGTTCCACCCCAGACTTCATCAGCTCATCAAAAACATCTTCATCCACTTCGGTGCCCGTCTCATCGGTCACACACAGTTTGTCCAAGTCCAGCCGCTCAGGCAAATGGAAAGTGTGTGTCACTGTGGGAAATAAAAACAACATGAACCTGATCATCTATTTTGTTTAATATTATATTATTTAAAAGCCTCCTTGTTTTAATGGAGATGTTATTGCGCTACACAGTATGACATGAAACAACTCTACCTTACATTTATTCAATTACAGGTGGTTTTATATCTTAAAAATTCCACCAAAAACAGATTGTTAAAAAGGCCATATATTTTTTGGTCTTCTGCATGGAGACCAATCCGAACTATGGCCTCCTTATGTGGTCCCATCTTGCAGGGCTGGGGCCTGGTATTGGGGTTCAGTGTTTTTCTGAACTGCGAGCAGAGACACTGCGAGGAGAGTGCTCTTGTTGTTGTGTTTTTTTAGATTCAGTACGAGGTTATTTTCATCTTTGGTACTGTATGCGTAATATAAAATATAAGTAGATGTTTTCTTTGTTTTGTTGTTTGCTATAAACTTTTCTTTACTGTGTTAAGGCCCGTTTTGGCCTAATTTGCGTGCGTCATGCGGAGGGGCAGCGAGACTCTTGCAACTCTAGCATCTCTTAAAGCTGCAGTAGAGTCAGAACAGCGGCTTAGTTTATTATGGCTGCATAACTAATGTAATATTATGTTTGTTACTGCCTTTTTATTCACTTCTATTATTGTTCATTGCCATGTTTAGAGTTTGTTTAATATATCCATGTGTTTTATTATGTATAGTGGTACAGTTATTTAATAAACATTTTTTATGGCTTGTTTTCCACAGAACCACACTTACACCATTTTCTGCTAATACTGGATACTCAATATTATTCTTCAAAACATCTGGCTGATCCTTCCAAGGGCACCCTGCAGCTGGTTAATACAGACAGCACCCCTTAGTACATTTTACACAGGCAGTCTCACTCAGAGTGGGGTCGCCTCTCCACAAACCTGACCTGTAACATCATCTGGTTTGGTCTCCATTAAGAGAAAAAGGTTTAATTCCACACTGTGAAACATTCCAGCAATAACATGTGGATAGGACAGTCACAATAACTTAATTTGATGCATGATATATCAATACAGAGATGATTAATGATTGACAAAAACATTGAAACTACTTAATGTCACTGACAAAATAACAATAAACTAGGATAATCCCAGTAAAGCATTTTAAAGTAGACAGTACTTAGACATAAATAAATGCCAACCTTCTTGAAGAAACGCAGAAAAGTTAAAGGTGCCGTCGACATCCGGCACTTGGACAAACTGTTTGACTCCTCGGCATTCCACTTTCACCAGCAAATTCTGCAAAAGTGAAGAGAAGTGAGTCAGGAGCGAATGTATCAGTGTCACAGTTTATTTTGGCACAAATAAAGAGGTTCTTCAGATTTGGTTTGTTTTTTGTACACTTATGCGCACAGACAGAAGAGCCGGTGATTCCATGGAGCTCAAGAGTGTATTTCATGATTTACATTGGAGAACTGGCAGCACAGGACTTAGTTGGGTCAAAACAAACCAATATTAGCCCAGGAGAGATGCTGGTGGATTTTCAAATTGGGGAAATCCTTGACTGGCAAATCCAGAATATCTTTCTGTGTTTTTTTGTACACGTAAATGATTTCTGGAATGCAGGCAGGAGCACACCTGGCCTTTCCAAACCAAGTCCCTCTGTCTGTCTCTGCCAAGCTGCTGTATTAATATTGGCAATGCAGTTCACTTATGCATAAATTATGGATTGTTAAGAGCCAGATGTAATATTGACAGATATTAAATTGTGAGCCAGACTCAAAGGCCCAGAGTCCGACTTATTTTGTTGTCATTTCCACAAACCAGGCTTCCTCTGAGTCTCACTGCACTTTTATCTCATTATTCCTGCCCTATTACTACGTCAAATGTTTTATTTTCCAATCAGCATAGCTTTATGTGAAAACTATACTCTAAAACATGTTCAAAACTTTTATAAACAATTGTGATGTGTGAGCCTATAATAGACCAACAACAATTGAATATTTAGGCTTATTATGAAAGGCCTATGCACATGGGTTTTGTTTTTCAATGGTGGCATCTTTATTTACAGCAAGTTTCTGCAAAAGACAGGACATGTTGTTCTTTATGTTATTTTCTTAAAGACTGCAGCCTTTACGATCTGATAAAACTGTCTGCACAAATTGTGATTTTTCCTCAACTGCAGAAATAGATCTGATGAAACGCGAAAAGCAAAACATTTCTTAAGTGGTTCCATTAAAGAAAAATGACAGGGCCCCTGTGATTCTCAAAGAACTGAGAAGGAGCTTCCTCACAGCCCCACCTGTAGAGCGTGATCCTCCTGTTTGACTCTCGGCTCCTCTGGCTCTTCTGGCTCCTGTGGCTCCTCTGGCTCCAATTTAATCCGTGGAGTGTGTGGAGGGTCCTGGTTCAGACCGGGACCAGGACTCTTTGAGGGGCTCAGTATCGAGTCCAGGAGCTCCTGTTTCCTCTGGTTCTCCTCTTTGGAGCGACACACTTCCTCCTCATACTCCGCTATCGTTCTTTCAAACAGCGCAAAGATCTCTTCAGCAGCCGCAGTCAGCCGCTCATTCACCAAAGCTCTCAGTGTTTGGCTTTTGGACATTTTAACAAACTGTTTTTAGCTTTAGCTCCGACCTAACCGCACACGAGGCTCGGCGGTCTGCTTCCTGCTTTGTGTGCAGCAGAGTAGACACGGTCAATGCATTACTGCCCCCACTGGTCAGGATGTTAAACTCCTAAAATGCTCATCACAGTGGATCCTCCTCAAACTTTATATTTTAACCAATATACTATGAGCTGTCCAGAGACCGGGGCCACAGAGTTACAGAGGGTAGACCAAGAGAAGGATCTAGGAGTGATATTTGACAAAGGCTTGACATTTAAAGAAGACATACACTCTCGTATACATAAGGCTATTAGTGTGATGGGAATCATCAGGTGTACCTACGCTTATCTTGATGTTGACACTTTCAAGCCTTTGTATACTGCATTAGTCAGGCCATATCTCGAATATGGAGCCGCAGTATGGAACCCAAAACTAAAGAACGACATTGAGACAATTGAAAGAGAGCAGAGGAGAGCAACCAAATAAGTACCACAACTACACAAACTGAGCTACGAACAATGTCTCCAGAGTCTTGATATCCCAACACTGAGATTTCACAGATTGAGGGGCGACATGGTAGAGACATACAAAATACTCAACAACATATATAATAGCTCATTGGCAAAATACTCCAGATTGCAGTCGACACCAAGACAAGAGGACACAGTTTGAAACTAGCGAAACCTAGAGCCTCCACTAGCCTCCGCTGTCACATTTTCAGCCATCATATTGTAAACGACTGGAATTTACTACCAGAAAACATTGTCTCTGCACCATCAGTCAGCTCCTTTAAAAACTGCATGGACAACTACTGGAAAAATCACCCATGGAAATTCCAGTGGGATGCTGACCTGGGAAGCATACCTTACAAACTTACAAAGAGTATGCATGTACAAAGGAACTGAAGAGTACAGATCTGGTCTCAGAGGCTATCAGCCCGCGACCAGGAACATCCTAAGTATACTAAGTAAGTATCCTAAGTAAGTTTATAATATACTAGTCCCGCTGCATTTCTCAAAAGTCTGTGATCACTACGATGACCAGATTCTCTAAATCAAACACTGAGACACCGCCGGTTTGACGTGGTTGGTAACAGAGGTGGAGACTCACAATCAGCTCCCTCAGTGTATCCAAGAGACTTTCAAACCCAGAGAGAGCGAGTAGAATCTGAGAGGATCCAGCCTCTTTCAGAAAGCTCATGTAAAGACCAGCCTGAAAAGTTGATGCATTTCCATCAGAGGTGTTCATCTTTGGAACAGTCTGGATGAAACATTAAAAGGCTTTAAATCAATTTACACATTTAAAAAAATATATAAGACCAGAATTACAGAGAAATATAATGATAAAAAGAAAGTTGTTGTACAGCTGTAGGGAGTATTATCTGCTACTAACTCTAAATATGCAGGGTTTGTGTGTTAAACATGTGAATGTATAAAATATGGGCCCTTTTAAAGCACTATTACGGTATTTTCTGATCTGTGTGTGTTTCTGATGTGGTAATAATGTTCTAACACAGCTTAAAGCGTCACAAGAGTAAATTCTGTGTAATGTAGGACCTTTAAGGGGAAGGTAAAGGAGCATCCTGCAAGTGCTGTGCTTTGGTCATGACAGTTTGCAGCAGGTGTGTGTGTGTGTGTGTGCACTTTTTTTCATGGTTTAGGTGTTTCCTGCGACTTATACTCCAGTGCGACTTAGATATAAACATTTTCAGACTGGCAGCCGCGAGAGGCTCTAGGCTCAGGTGTCAGTATTTGCTACTTCTGTTCCTCCTGTACCACTGTCACTTCACTCTACTGCACATGTCTCCTGTAGAAAAAGCCACTGTCCTGCTGCCAATAGTGAAATATAGAAAGTTTGGAGTGAGCGAGAAACTTGTGAGGGACTGGCGGAAAGTGGGGATAGAGAACACAGCTTCATGGGAACCGGGAGGGTGCACCATGAAACTTTCCTGGAAGTCATTGGATGAATCGACAAAGTCTGGACTTCAATGACACTGAAACCATCCTGTCGGGATTCAGAAAGGCTGGAATAATTCTAACTGGAACTGACTCTGTTTACATCATGGATCTATGGTTTATCTCCGGAGGTCGCACAGAAGTGACACCAAGAATGAAGAATTCAATGGATTTAGTGATTTGGAGTGAGATCAAGAGTTTGGTAAACTTATGTTCAGTTGTTTATGCTATAATTATCTGAATATTAACAGTTAACATATTCTGTTGTTTTTACTAGAATTTGCCTTTCAAGATTAAATATCGGTTCCTGGTCTCTGATTTTATAAAAATACATTTCCCCAAAAAGGGTGAAGTGTTTTTTTCTTCTTCATTGGCTGGTGCAACTTATAGTCCAGAAAATACGGTACTGTACAGGCTGAGGTGCAGTAGTCAGGCTGGCGCTACCTAGTGCCTCCGCTCAATTTCATTTTTCTCCAGCGACTAGGTCAGGAATCAGAATACATTAGACGGTTTGCAAAAACCCCGGAAGTGCGAGTCCAGGCATCAGCCAATCAGAGAAGAGTCATATATTTTGTGTTGGCAACGATTCCCAAGATTGAGGATTTAAAGCTGAAACAAAGAGAATGTTTGGTGAATTTTATCAAGGGGAAAAAGGTTATCACCCTTCTTTCTACGGAATTTGGGAAAAGCTTAATATACCAGTTAGTCCCGTTAGTGGCGCATTACATACATCACGACCAAATAGCAGCGATTCGTTAAATAAAAAAAGTACCCGCCTACCGTCAAGCGAACAAATCCTAATGCTGTGTCAGGTCAGACGGTTTCTACGAAGTGAAACCGGCTGATGAATCAGGATACAGGTGCAGTATTCTAATTCTACAAAAGTCTGTGCAGAGGGCTCCAAAGATGAAAAAAAAAACAAAAAACAAAACAAAAAAAACACACACACAACAGGATTTGCTGTCGTCTGTGCTGGTGGTGTTCTATACTGTTGTGGAAATGTGGAAAATGTACACGAGCAGGTTTGCTTGTTCTAACTAACTATTCCAACTTACTGTCAAGAGTCACTGAAATAAGGATATCTGTGACATCTAGGACATGTGGGTTTTAGGGGGAATGAGGCAGCAGATAAGATGGTGACACACACTCTGTAGTGTTCATATAAATGTATCTTTAGTAAGAATGAAGGAAAATCTCTTCTTTGATCAAAAGTGATGGAAAAGGGACAGAGCAGATGAAGGGCAGAAACTCAGGGCAGCTGGATGAACAATGTCCATAGATCAATCCCCAAAACAGGCTAAAGAAAAAAGTGGAACATTTCCGAGTACTCTAAAAATGTATTGTATAGCTTCAAATGGTTTATGTGAGCAATGTCATGTGGAAGAGAGTTTGTTTGTAGTAAATATGACAGAGAGAAGAACAGCCACACAACACATAATCTCCACTAAGACTTGAATATTACTCTAAAGTGTTGCTCGCACACATCAAACTCAGATTTGGCATCTAGAATTGAGCTTCTTATCCACACTCCGGAGCAGCAGAGGGCAGTAATGCTCCTCACTAAGGTGGTGCCAACTGCGTTAAACAACACCAAGAAGAAGATCAAGCTCTTGGACCCACGTGATTAGTTATATTGGGTACGTATGGAGACGTAGAACTGCCAAATCTGTGCTTAAAATGAAATAGTGCAGATTTTATTTAACATGATATCACCACAAACTGTCACAAAAGGCTGTGATGTTAAAAACTTGATAGGTGCACTAACATGACCGTATCAGTGCGGTCACCTGTGCTCCTCCACATCCAGGCTCAACTGGGAGCTGGATTTGAATGTGCCAAACAGACATTCTCTTCTCCAAATTTGGGACAGCACCTTGTATCTGCAGCCACGCTCACTACATTTTACCTCTTGATTTTGCGCTGTGTCCTTTACCTGTTCGGCGATCTCTCCCAGGGCCAGTTCAAACCAAAGTTGAATAGTTCTTCTTTAATGTAAGGCTGGATTAGTGATCAGCCTGTTCAGTTCCATTGCAGAAATGTATTTCAGATAATTACAATTATAATTTGAGTCATGTCAGCCCTGGATTTGCTTTGAAATCTGAAGCTGTACAGAGTTCATTAAGACACCTTCACTTCTCTGTGCACCAGGAGACACTGTCGACTTTCTGTGGCAATCTCAACTGAACTATGTTAACAAAAGTTTCCAACATATAATTTTAGGAAGGTCCATTTTTGGTTATTCTAATTTATTGTAGAGTGTTCAATTTTCTTACAAATTCAACAGCTATAAGGTCATTCACCTGTGTGTATCTTTAATTGGGACTAAAAATAGCCGTTAATCTTAAAGTTACCACTAAATGACATCATAAGGTGGAACAGACCAATTTGATCTTTGGAGATGTAGACAGAGTCATAATTCAGACGAGATTTGATCACATGTGTATCTGTGCTCTCCACCAATAAATAAAAGTATTTGATCGTTCAAAAATATTGTTTAATATCATGTTTAAAAGTCACACTTGGTGCTCAGATTTGACTGTTACAATGACAAAACTTTATTTGTTTTTATCATGTTCTCAAGGAAGCAGCAGACTCCAACACAGAATTTAGGAAAAAACAATAAACTTTCAGTCACACTCTGTTCTCATATGATTCTTCCAGTGTCTATGTGAAAACCCTTTTTTACAGATGGAACAGCTGTAAGGTCTCTCATCTGTGTGTGTTCTTTCATTTGCATTTAGTTGGTTTTTATGTGAAAATGTTCTCTTACAAGTTGAAGAGCTGTAAGGTCTTTCACTTGTGTGTGTGTTCTCAAATGTGCATCTAAACTACACTTTTGAGAGAATGTTTTCTCACATGTCGAACACTTGAACGGTTTCTGTCCTGCGTGTATTTTCACATGTACATCTAGATTACACTTGAAGGCAAATGTCTTCTCACATATTGAACACCTGAATGGTCTTTCACCTGTGTGTGTTCTGAAATGTGCATCTAAAGTACACTTTTGGATAAATCCTTTCTTACAAATTGAGCAGCTATAAGGTCGTTCACCTGTGTGTATCTTTAAATGTCTATCTAGATTAGACTTTTGAGTAAATATTTTCTTACAG